GAAATAAAAGCGTTTGACTCCATCATCAACAGGAACTCACATCTACAGGATTTCCTTTTTATCTCACTGTTTCCAGACACAATCAAACTTAGTGCTGCAGTTTTCTTCACCTACTGTTGAATCAGGGCCTTTGTTAAGCATCTAAACAGTTGAGAAACACTGTGAGACTAATCAATGCTATTTACAGCTTCCTCACCCATCAGATATGATTATTATTGTTGTGCTGTTACAACCTTAACAGTCTGACTTATGGGTATCTGACGTGGGAATGGAAGGAAGGAATTAGAGGATTCTCCTATCCACTCGTCTTTGCTTTCATATACAAGATATTACACTTCTTAAACCTCGACTCAGTCCACCTCCTGGTTAGTTCACAGATCTCCTATCTATTCAGACAGTTGTTTTTTATCAGACATTTTTATGTTTTACTAAACTTGTTCCCGCTGGCTCTGCAGAAATGGCTCCCACGAATGATTCAAGCGCTTCTAGCGGCGTTTGCTGATGCAAAATTCTTCTTCCTCGTCCGAACACTGGAAAGTCGGGACGTTGCAAAATGGATGGTGAGCTCTGTCACTCACTGCACTTCACTGCAACAGGAACAGCTGAAAGTGTGTCTGCTCTCATCTAATGCTGCATGTGCACAAGTCAAACAAGATTTTCTTGTGTTGATTTGAGGAGAAAACACAACTTCAGAAAGTGTATTATTGTAGTGAATCATAAACAAAGAAACACAAGATCATAAGTGCACCAAACACGATGATGAGCTCAACTGTAATTTTACTCCAACTGTGCTGTCAGGATCTGGTTTGGTCTTTTCTTCTCTAGATTTGATCGTTTTATTGAGATACTTTAACGCTGCCGCTCTCATCCGATCTCCTGAAATAGACGTTTAACCATGTCTTGTTGTTTTCATGTGCAGTTCTTCTGCCACCTGTGCTCGTGGTTCACGTGGTTCTGCTGCACCAGGACTCTGACCAACAGCATGGAGACCACCATCACCTGTCTGGCTCTGTTTTACTTCCCCCTGTCTGGGTCTAAAACACACAGCAGGTCTCTGTTTGTTATTTAATTTCAATTTTTTTTATTATTTGCCTTAATGTGCAACACAAAAAAAGTGACACTGGTGTTTATTTTTTCCAGCAAAAAATATTTGACCCTAGTTGCCTTGGCCGTCATTTTTCGTCCGACGGTGCTGATCGTCTGGTGTCCGCTGCTGATTTACCATTTCTGGCAGGAAAATAACAAACTGAGACTCATCACTCATGACTACATTCCCATTGGGTTTGTACTTTCACTCTTAATATCCACTTAAACTATATTTTCTTCTGTTTTCTCAATTACACTTTTGTTTTGTCTTATTTCCAGGGCCTTGGCTGTTGTGATCTCAACAGTGATTGACTGTATATTCTATGAAAAGGTAAAGCATTAAAAACTCATCCACTAGCTGCTGCTCATGAAGTCAAACTGTTTGTAACAGTTGCTCTCTGTGTCTTCCAGTGGACCATGGTGCAGTTCAACTTCCTGAAGTTCAACATCTTTCACAGTGTGGCTGATTTCTACGGCTCTCACCCCTGGCACTGGTACTTCACTCAGGGCTTTGCCGTCGTCGTCGGTCCTCATCTTCCCCTCTTTCTTCATGGCTGCACCCTTGCCTTCAGAAGATACAAAGTCCTGTTGGCAGCGGTCGTCTGGACCGTTGTGGTTTACAGGTAAAATGATCAATTGTTTGTTCATGCTACTGACGTCCTCGAGTAATAACGGCACTGCTGGTTTGTTTGCACTCAGTTTAACACTTCCCTTCTTTATAAAACATCTGAATTATGATGTAGAAACGTGTATTTGTTCACATCCATGTTGCTGTCGTCTTCTTTGCCTTCGATGGGTCATTGTTATCTTTCTGTACCGTCACCTGTCACTCAGTGGAGCCATGTGAAACCATCAGAGTGTGACGTGTGTGACAGAACAAACAAACACACAGACCATCACAAAACAGTCTTACACTATCATGCTGCTAGTGGTGAAAAACTACACAGGGTGCTGTTAAAGGTTCAGTGTGAAGGATTTAGTGGCATCTACTGGTGAAGTTGTATACTGCAACTAAATACCACTCCTCACCCTCTCGTTCTAAGCACCAGGAGAATCTACGGTGGCCCTCAGGTAACATACTAAGAGGAAAGTCCCTCAGTTAAGCCAGTGTTAGCCACCAACATGGTGGACTCTGAGGAAGCAGGTTTGCTCCTGATGTCGATGTCAAAGGCTCATTCTTGAGTCACAAAAACACAATGATTATTAATTTCAGGTGATAATTGACAAACAAAAATAATATGAATTTATTCGGTCTGTGTGGATAGAGCCTCTAAATCCCACACACTGGACCTTTAAGGGGGCACATGCTATTATTAGCAGGTGGATGAGTACAGTCCCTGGCCACTCATTATTTATACTCCCCAAACAACCTGACATATTTTACTGCTTTGTTTCAGTTTGCTCCCTCACAAGGAGTTCAGATTCATCTATCCTGTGCTGCCGTTCTGTATGATCTTCTGTGGTAAGTTCTCATTTGAACCTTTAAATCTTTGGTCTGGACTAACAGTCAGATGTGTGCTTTAGTTTGTTTGTTTTTTTTTTTATCTCCACGCCAGGGATGTCTTTGGCTAATTTGAAATCGTGGCGTCGAGCTGCAGCGTTGGCCTTGTTAGTGACCAACCTGGTTCCAGCTCTCTACACCGGCCTGATCCACCAACGAGGAACTCTCGATGTCATGAGCCACCTCCAGACGCTTTGTGATGCCGGTGGCATGTCCTCACCTCCGCAGCCAGACGTCCTGTTCCTCATGCCATGTCACTCGACACCTTACTACAGGTACACTCCTCTCGCCACCTGTGAGACAAAGCTGCACACCATAACTGATCCAGCCTTCCTGAGACCAAAGCTTTTATTTTTTCAATAGTGAAACTTTTAAACGTGTTGTTGGAGCAGCTACATGATAGAACGTGATATTTAGCACTTATCGTATTGATGAATTCACGAGCAGGGATTTGACTGATCATATATAAACATCAGCTGATGGTTCTCTCTCCTTGTAGTCACATGCACTGCCCCATAAACATGAGGTTTCTCGAGTGTCCTCCGGATCTCGGAGAGGACGGTTACGTCGACGAAGCAGACAGATTCTACGACGACCCTCTTCACTGGCTCAGAACATCATTTCCATATAAATCCTCTCTGCCCACCCATCTGGTTTTCTTTGACGTTTTGGAAAAGGTGAAGTATTGACTAATTATATTTCTGCATGTAGATACTTGTGCTTCATTTCACAGCTGCTTAAACATTCACGTTTTTTTGTCGTAGGAAATCTCAGTGTTTTTAAAAGGGAACAACTTTGTGAGGACAACAGAAATATTTCACACTCAGTTTCCTGAGGGAAGAGTTGGAGGAAGCATCTTTATTTATGAAAGGCACTGACAAACACTGCAACAATGGAAAGTCCACTCAGAGAATATTGCATTGATTTGAAACTGAAATAAATATTTTTAACTCAGATGTCGTCTTGAATCATCAATTGTCAGATTTGTCAGATGTGTGTGTTTTAATTATTTTTAATAAAATTTGGCATGAAATTATTTTTCCATTCTTTTTTTTACTTGTTTAAAAGTAAAGTAAAATGTCAGGTCTAGTTAAAACAGGCTTAAGGTGGAATGTTAGAAAACAGCCTTTGAACTCGGACGGGAAAATAAAAAAACTCACACAAAACTGTAGCAGCAAATTAAAACAACTATATGACTGTACATGGAAAACATCCTCATGGTGCATGTCTTTTGTTATTTTTCCAATGTTTAACAAAGCACAATAAATATTTTCTGCTAAATATTTTGAAACTAAAGTTCTGTTTTTGACAATGAGCATCAGTGGTGTTTTATCATTAAATCCTGAATTAAGTGTTTAACATTTATATAATTTGAACTGATGTTACAAATGTGCAGATGTCAGAAGAAATGCCACATCTGTCATTCAAACCTTATGACTTGACTAAATGCAGAACAGCTCGAGGACGTTCAGTAGCATTAAAAGGTTAACATTGTGCAAACTTACAAAAAAAGAGACTGTGCATCTAAATACAAAAAAAAGAAAAATAGAACCTGCAACTATAACAATTAACCGGCTGAGATGTTTTCAGTATTTGGGATCAAACGGCATCGGACCCAGTTCTATTTTGACATCAGCCATGTGTCTGTCTGCGTTTCTTCCTGACCTGCTCCACTTGCGTTCACTGTGTGCTCGAGATCTGGCTCTCTGCTGCTTCCGTTGGTGATGCTTTGACCGAGTCTGCTCCTTTGAGTCTGTGTCGGGTCGTTCAAACGGCCCGCTGTGGGATTCAAACACAAAACATGAACATTAGAGTTACACCCACAAGTTGCACCATGAATATGGATGAAAATGGGGGCAGGAGTGTGTCAGTCATAACTTAGAAACCTTTTTAGATACCACTTGAATTAAATTTAAGAATAATCGCAATGGAAAACACACAACAGTGAAAACCACCTCGTCTCCATTGTTTTAAAGACGTTTGACACAGTAGTTTGCTGCATAGGCACATCCTGGCACTGATTTTAACCACCACGAGTACATATCATTGTCTAGCTGCTTTTTCATTAAACCTGCATTTGTCCATGTTCATAAACTTTGCCGCAGGCTGGATAGAGAGGTAAGTGTAACACATACATTTAAATGGAGCAAGACAATTCCAGGATTAAAAATTCTTCTTCTGTCGAGCAGAGTCGAGAACCTAAGCAAAGTGATCTGTTGAATGACGCCACATTGTTTATAGTCATTTATATTTTGTGAATTATGAAACAACAATTTTAATTATTTAGTATTTTAGTGCTGAAAATAACTTCAGAGAAAAGTGGTCTGTTTTTTATTTCAAGAGGAGATTCATTATTTAGACAGTGAATTTTTTCCCTATTCTCATTCATGTGTAAGGTGTAAAGGTCTTCAGAAAAAATGGAGCGGGGCACATTTAACTTTGCACGACAGTTTGTCGACATAACCACAGGAGACGTACCTCGGGCTAAAGCTTTTTGTGTAAATCTCTCCGAAGAGGTGCCTGTAGACAAAGTCATCCAGGTCTCCGAACATGTCGTCGTGGAGCCCGTGGTACTCGTGCATGTCCGCCAGATAGTCCTCCACACCGCTGACAAAGTCTGTGAAGAGCATCTGGTCGTGGATGAACACCCCGTTGTGGAAGAAGTTGTTGATGAACATCTCCAGCTCTTTCCAGTGGTGGAAGTGATCGACCTCCTGCTGCAAGTAGCTCTGCAGCAGCTGGTGGAACTCGTCCGCTCTGATCGGCTCCATGGCTTTGTTGAACAGACTCATGGACTCCTGGTAAGCGCAGTCAAAAACCCCAGAGCAGCCTTTCATGTTGGCTTTCTGGCCGCTTTGACCTTGATCTTCATGAACTTTATGCCCGTATTTTCGAGTGTTGTGGCTGCTGTGGAACGAATTGTCAGATTTGTGCGTCTGTCTTTGATGAGGCTTGTGTGATCTGTGTTGCCATGACTCTTTTGAGTTCCTCTCATCACGCCTCTTGTGATAAAAGCCTCTGGCCTTGTTGATGAAAGTCGAAGCCGAATCCTTGAAGTGTCGGAAAGTTGATTTGACAGAATCTGAGAACTTCCTCAGGTTCTCTTTCACAGCCTCTTTTGCTTTTTTTATCTGCTCTTTATGGTGATGGACAAACTCCTTGGAGGAGTTTTTCACTGCATCAAATGTCTCTTTTATTTTCCCTGCCATGCCCTTTTTAGGTTTCTTCACTTTGGACTCTGTGTCTCCTTTGACTCCCTCTTCTTTGGTCTCCACGTACAGCCGCTCCCACAGGTCAGAGCGCTGTTGTTCGAAGCTCAGTCTCTCCTCCAGCTCCAGCAGACGTGACTGTAGCTCCTCTTCGTCTGACCCAGTCTCCTTTCCAGCTATGGGGGTGTGACTTCTCAGACGATTCAGCTCTCTCCTCAGCTCATCTGTCACCTTCCTCTCTTTGTCGAGCTTCTTCCTCAGTGTCTGAGCTTCAGCCATTAATCCCTCCCTCTGGATGTGGAAGTTTCTGATCAGCTGCTTGTCCTCTTCCAGCTGCTCTTCCAGCCTCTGCTTTTCTGACAGCAGCGAGTCGGCTCCAGCTCCCATCGTTTCCAGATCTCTGATCTTAGAGCGCAGGTTTCTTAGCTCCTCCTGTAACTTGGACAAAGACTTTTCCTCATGTGCCAGAGAGCTTTTCAGCTGCTGGTTTTCAGCTGCCAGCTGCTGCTGCTGAGCCACAATGTTAGTCTTCTCCTCAGCCTTCTGATGCAGCAACATTTCCAGGTCATTTCTCTGGGCCTTAATGGGAAAAAGAAAGTTATGGCTTTTAAAGTGGTGTTTACATGTGTCATGATGACACGACGATCACAAAGTTCACTCAAATCATCCAGTGTTTGAACAAAGAATTATTTTTGCTTAATTTACATAACAACATTTGCATAAGTGTTATGTTACAAAAACTGTACACTGACTACAAGTTACCTGAATGTGCTTCTGTTTAATGTTGATCTCCTGATTCTCTTTCTTCATCTTCTCGATCACATCTGTGAGCAGTGAAATCATGTTTTGCTCATCCAGGTCTTTCAGGTCTCCATTCTGAGAAAAGGTAATTACAATTACAATAATAATAATAGTAAATGTATTTATACAGCACCTTTCAAAACATAGTTACAAGGTGAAAATAAGAATCATTCAGTGTCCGAGCAAGTAGGTCAAAAAGAAAAAAACCTTATTATATATTTTACCTTTACAACATTCACATTTATTCTGTGTTTATTCTATATCATCAGAGTGGAACATGGATTTTCAAGTAACTACATTATTTCTAGATACTTTAATCGCTCTAATAATAGTCTTATAACTGCATTTAATCTAATGCAACATGACAAACTACATCCTCTAGAATGACAAAATATTAACCATTAGAAAAAAATACTAATAAAAGGTTGGATTTATTAATGATGTATAATTAGGGCTGTGCAAACTGTTTCTATATTTCTGGTCATTCAGTGTGTTTTTTCTGGTTGAAAGAGCTTTTAAGAATATAGTAAAATGCTTTAGACTCTAAAGCATTGTACCAAATGAGTTAATGACCTTTTATGTAAAATCCACGATAAATTAATGTATTATTGTTTAACTACTGATGTCACTGACCTGGTTTTTCAGAGGTTGTTCTCGAACATGCTGCTGAAGCAGATCTCTCACGAGCTCATTCACTCCAATTTTCTCCACTATTTTTCGTCTTTCTTGAATCTGGACTGTGCCTGTGACATTTGTAACACAACAAATTATTCACACACACAGCAAAATGTATTTATTTACATGCAATGAGGAATTATTGTTGAAACTGTTGAATGTTCACATAAACGCTGTGGTTCCCACCAAAGATAAGAACCTCTGAGGTCTCTCCTGTAGCTGGTTTTAACACATTAACTGAGGAGAAGTGCAAAGAGAAACGGTCTCAAAAGGACAACATCACATCTGAAAGACACAGGGTCCGCACCTAATATAAAGAAACTATGTGATCTTTCCCAGATGACAAAGAACTGCAAATCTTTTGCCAATAAATAATGTGTAGATTAATTTCTGCTTACTGGAAAATTAAAAGCATGAATATTCTCTACATTACCAATAACAAAGGTGAAATCTTCTACGTCTGTTGTAAACTTCTTACCATAGAAGTGACCAAAGCCCATGCTGAAAGCTATGACGAGGGCGAGCAGGATACACTTGTTGAGGACGCTGCTGCGCTGACCCTGCATTCGAACATCCTCAGCAGGTCCGACTTCAGCCGGCTCCTCCTCCTCTTGCTGCTTCTCCTCTTTGTCCACATCTTCCTCCACCTCCTCACCTGGACCAGACTCCAGCGCCTCCTCATCTTCAGTCTCCATCACAATGCTCGAGATATTCTTCCTCACCCTACGTCTTCGTATGATAGTACTGGGGCTCTGTCCTACCTCGTCCTCACTGCTGCTCGAGTTTGTCACTGCCGGCTGCTGCACCGGGAAAACTACGGAAAAATACACAAAGTTACGTTTGCAGTGATAGTGTGAAATAAAACTGACTTTCACAAAGTGGTACACACAAAATGAACAGGCTCAGGCTCAAGCATGCACAGGTGATGCTACTCATGCGCAAAAGAAAAATATTAATACTTTACTCACTCCTCAAACTACACTTGTGTTCATGGTGTGTTTAAAATGCACTGAAGGAAGAGTTCAACCTTTTGGGAAACATTCTTAATTTGTTTTCTTGCTGAGAGTGAGAGGAAAAAATTGAGTGTATAATCCCTGTAACACTGTAACATGATGTTTTTACACTTTGGGTTTCCTTCACATTTTTTCACATTCTTTAAACATGTAGTGATCTTTACATGAGCTGGTGGATGGGTTTTGTTACCATGAGACAGACTGGCTCACTGCTGTCCCCTGCCTTCAGTCTTTATGCTAAGCTAAGCTAATAGGCCGATGGCTGTAGTTCAGATATTTTTCAGGCAAAAATAGCCTTCAAAGATTTACAGAGCTCTATCCACCCATCGGTACCATACTGATTTTTTGTATCTGAAAATATAAGCAAAGGAGCAAAAAGGCCTATTTTCCATATGGAACTTAACATTTTGAAATATTAAGACAAATGAATAATCCTGAATAAAACTGATTTACTGGACAGTTTGTTGCTGCTGGTTATCTTGGTTCTCCAAAACACACAAAATGCATAAAGAATAATTACATACATCATTTTGTGTCTTAAAACTGCTTAGAGATAAAGTATCTTACAAAAAGGTTTTCTGACCTTGAGTGTACATCAGTTTTATTGGCACATCATTTTAATGGAGTTCCCCATTATTATTATTATTTTATGTTGCATATAACAGTAAATTAATTACACTTCAATTCTAGTCAGTCAGACCTACAAAGACACACACACATGCACACCCTTGGAGAAACTGTGAGCTGTGAAGAAACCACACATTTTTCTGTGGTGGAACATGCTTTAAATGCTCATCTTTGAGCAGCATATGTTCAGCATCAGGATTAGGTCAGTGAATTGCTGAGAAAGCTTTGCATTTTATTAGATTCACTCTAGTTTCACGTTTGGCCACCTGCATGTGAGCGGCCTCCAGTGAGCTGGCTCCTCAGATGGTAGCCAAACCTCACCAAACTCTGTGGAAGTTTCCAGTGACTCATCATCAAACCTGTTTTGGCGATGTAGGAGATAGGCAGAGGAAGAAACATGCCTTGTTGATGTGTTGAATTTGTCTTTGTTTACAGAGAGTGGCAGTAAAATATGTTTGCTGCAGAAAATACAAGGATAGGTGAATGTGTTGTACCGGTCTCTGCAGCAGTGAAGGCGTACTGGCTGCTGCAGGATGTGCCAAGGTAAAACTCTGCGTTGGCAGCTACCTCCTCCTCCACGTCTGCGCGCTCGTCCTCCTTCAAGTCTCCTAGAGTCACGATGTCGGAGTGATCGCTAAAGGTCAACAGAGTCACAGGCTCTTTCCCTGCAGCGACGTCTCTGACCTGCAGAATACACAGAGAGCAGCATTTCTGTGTTGTAGATACAAATTCGACAAAAAATTTTCCCAAGTGTCTTAAATGATGTTCAATAGAAAAATCTGATTTATAAATGTGTTTTTCAATCCACATGAATATCAAACAATTTGAACACACACAAAACTATTTCACAAATTCTCATATCGCAACATAAACATTTTTTAATTTTCACTTAAAGATCATGAAAACACTATTTTGAGTCTAATTTCTTTCTAGATTATTTATACAATGACCCTGCAGATTATTTGCAGGTCTCCTCACCTCAGGGACAAGCAGTGTCTCATCTGCGGTTCGTTCTTCCAGTGTATCTTCAAGTGAATCAGCACCTCTCTCTTCATCACACCCAGCTGAAATATAATCTATATCAATTATGATGTGTGAGTTATAGTTGCTATGATTAGCGTCACAAATATGAAATCATACTCATAGTTAGAGTCACTACGCATTAATCTGTCAATTAATTTCTTGATTAACTGTAAAAATAGTGCAAATAAATCCCCATCATAATCTTTCTGACATATTCAATGTCTTTTTTTTGTGTCCAAAAACAGCTCAGAAACCAGAGAATTCACAATAATCAAATTTGACAAACTGTTCTCAAATCAATAAGTTATATGGTGACTTTTTTTCCCACCTGACGCCTGTGTGACCTGCAGCTCTGCTTTCTCCACCACCAGAGGACGCTCTAACAGCTCGGCTCCATATTCCACTGCAGCCTCCAACCCCAAGGTCTCGATATCGGAGCCCTGCAAACAAAGTAAGCAAACATTAAGTCTGGGCATGATGCAATAACTACCTTATTATGCAAACCAAGAAAAGATGGTATTAAGCAAGATCATTCAAGTTTTTCTGTGAGGAATTATTTGTAGCTGTGACTGGCTCATTTTATTGTAAATTGTAGAGACAGAAACATTCCCAACGGTATGAATGACACATGCAACCGGCACTGAACAAACATCAGTTTGCAGACAGGATGCTCGAGACACCTGAGGCTGAAAGTTTCATCAGCAAAACAGTGACACATGCACAGTCACCATCATCAAGTGGAATCTCAGTGAGTGAATAACCGAGGAAAAATACAATAAGTAACTTATCTAATTAAACAGGGAAAAAACAGTCATTGCAATGATTTTAATAAAAAAGTAGGTCTTTCATTACACAATTCCAGCCACCACATGTGTCTTCAATCAAAATTCCAAAGGTCAGTTCATATACTCATAAGAAAGCAGTCTCCAATGAAGAAGAGAAAACTGTTCCACACAGGGAGGAGTAGTGGTAATCATATTTTAATTTTCTTTCACAGAGACAAATCATAATTTGAGTTGTTCTTTTTCCCTCTTTGTTGTTTCTTATAAAGTAATAATCGAATAAAAAAGCTGTGGAGTGAAGTCAAAAAATGTTTTATACCTCATTACTAATGATGGTCCAGCCACAGGACGACTCTGCATCACTTGACGTCTCTGACATTTCTGGTGGTTGTCAGCAACACACAGTACAGGGAACTAGAGGAGATGAGAAGGTTATTAGGTAAGCAAATGTGATCTAATAAAAACTTGCCTGTGTCCATTTGTAGACACACTGATGTATAAAAACAACATTACATTGTTTCAGGTTTTTATAATCTCAACTACACACACATACTCTTCATTATAAACTTAGATAACCATGGTCTGCTTTGATTTGCTAAAGTGTTGAACAAGTCAAAACTTCAGATTAAAAGTGCAAGCAGAGGATATGAATGATTATGTCATTGTCAGGATGTTTTGTGATACATTTGGCTATAAGAGCCATCAGCACTGTTAATAAACATTTAATCAAGTGATGAAACAGGAACGTGGGGAGCAGCAACTCTGTTCTTTGGTCTGTTGTCATACTGGTGTGATATTAAAATGTAAACCATGAAACAATATGAATTTGTTACCGGTCAAGAGATTCTACTATCATCTTTATAACATAGTATTTTACATGTATCCTTGTTGTAGTGTGGTGGTGATGTCTAATAGGAAGTGTAGCACATCAATGAGCTGCTCTATAGCAGCTTTATTTGATATTTACATTTTTCATCAACTGTACCAGCTATATCTCTTTTTCTCCATCCTCCACCACTACCTGAAACAATGACACTGACATGTGCATCAGCTGAAAACCAACAGACCCAAACAGTCTGTATCTGTTCCCTGGAAACAACACGGGTGAGTTAGGTCAATAACAAGACAGAGATACAGTTGATGCACCATCGATCAATTGAAATCGAAGTTCTGTCTATTGATTCAAGCTTTTATTTCAGCTTGTCTTATAATTCTGTTCATTCCTGTGATTGTTTTAACTTTATTTACTTTTTTCACTCATCTTCTGAGCATTTCACAAACGTGTTACATAAATGTGACCCGAAAAACTTCTCTGGTTACTTTAGAACAATAAATCAGTTAAATTCATTTTAATATTGATCACACACAGTGGTTCATTCACACCCTGTGTGTGTGTGTGTGTGTGTGCGTGTGTGTGTGTGTGTGTGTGTGTGTGTTTGCCTGCCTGCGTGTGTCTGTCTGTGTGTGTCGCCCTCTAGCGGTGACAGCTAGAGAGCAGCTAACCGGAGATGCGGCCTGGCTGGATTCAGACATTTGCTTTAACAACAGACGTGTTAGCGTCGGTGGTTTGAAGCGACCATTAGCATCGTCTCTCGACGTTAACTGGCGCTGTTCTGCGGTGGTTTGTGGGTTAGTTCACCAGTTTACCAGGCTGGTTGTTAACGTCTCTGAGCGTCTATTTAAAGCCGCGTCCACCACCTCCGCCATCTTTAACCGACATTAAGAACGAGTATAGTTCCGAAGCTGAGCGCAGAGACGGGACTCACCGGTGCTCGCGCCCTGAAACGAGGCAGCTGTTCTCACCACCAGCTCCAGAGTTGTTGCAGTTTACCCGACTAGCCGCCAACATCCCACCGGAGCCGGGAAATGTAGTTTCACAGGGGCGCAGTTAAAAACACGGCTCAGAGCCTTCACCGACCTCTTCGAACTACATTCCCCACAAGCCAGCGCGGTGGACAAACAGGCTCTGCGAGGGTGGGCTGCGAAATAAAAACATAAACAAGGAAGCGTGACAAAGCAGAGCAGCGCCAGAGTTCAGAGTGCGAGGCGACACGAGAACTCACACAGTCATGTGTGTGTGTGTGTTGTTGTGTTAGCACGGGGTTTCAAATAGCGTCAGGGTATTTTTAATACGTGACAGTGTCCGACAGAAAACACGTGGTGGTCCTTGCTGTGATCCGCGTGCTCGTTCTGCAAACTCACGGTTGGTGATATGAAAACAGAGGATTCTCCTGAAATGCTGCTCGACCGGTTGTTAAACTTCTGTAACTGTGGATCAAGCCTGTACAGTGATTTATGGTTTGACGTGTGTGTAACTAGTGCTTCAGCAGCAACCTTCAACCAAACGAGCACGTGAGATATAATCCTAAATAAAAAAAAGAAAATTACACGTTTACAAAATCTACCAAATAAGAAATGGGCAAACAACAATATCAAAGCACCATTTTTTTCCAAAGCAACACTATGTAACTTTTACCAAGCAACAGCGCCATCTGCAGCCAAACCTGGTGATTACCTCTGTAAGGCTTCACAGCCATGATGATGTGTCAGTGATTTGTTGATGAAAAGACATAAATACAACCCCTGCAGCAGATAGACATTAAAACTAAAATACAGCTCTCACACCAGTTTTCATGCACTTTTGTGTAATGTTGCCTTTTACTTTGCTACTAACAAACTATCAAACACTAATAACTTAAGTTTGCCTTCTGGGTTGTGTGGCAGCCAGTGGCACAGGGAACATTGAATGGATGAAGGGAAGATTTGAATGGATTACACTAAATATCAATACATTCTGTATACAAATGTCCTGAAGTGGCAATGGCCCAAGGGAGACATTCAAATCCAGCAAGAACACATTACAGGCTTATGTGCTATTTTATGCATCACTTTTGTATAAATGTTTTCAATTTTACAACTCCTGGCCACAGTAAAGGAGATTTTTACCATTTCCTGGCCAAATAAAAGCATAATATTTTGGACAAGGGCGATAAACGGGTGTCCCTTTATCATATTTTTTCATTTGTCTTCTGTATATGGAAGAAGTTTAAAGATGTCAAAGGACCAATAATTGTGAATAAACTGAATAAATAATGGGTACATAACATTTTGATGAAGGAATAATTAAAGTAAAAATATACAGTCATTTCATTAGTGTGTTTTGTATTTTAACCAGCACAACAACTACATGTCTTGTAAAGAACAACTGCAGACACAAGGCTTCTCTTATTTGTGTACTTTATTATTTAAACTGATATTCAGACTTTTTATAATTTGCCACATTCTAAAAATCTCCTAGCTAAACATTTTTGGCAAAAAAACAACTTGCAAGTAATTTTGCTGACAAAGACAAACTGACAAAATATAACAAAACATTAACAGAAAACATAATAATTACAAAAAGGTACATTCAATTTTCAAGAGTTGACACCTGCATTCTCTTTAGGGAGGAGCAGCTGTGGGTCCCCCTGAGTTTGACTGTAAATGACCCACAGCGCTTCGCCGCACATTATTTAAATTCAACATTACTGCAGAAGGGAGAACAAAGAGCCAGTCTGCTCATACACAGACGAGACTGTGTTTTATCCCTTTAAATTCACATGCTCGAACAGGAACACAATTCAAACAACACCATTCCTGAAATGAAAGGCAACAGGCGACATCCTGGTTCCTCTCTATGTTATTGTTCTCTCAGTCTCACAGACAATAAGTGTTTTTCATCTGAACCTAACGACGGAATATGAAACATTAAAAACCTGAGGTACCACTTCTGTATCTGCATAAGCTACACGAGGCACCAACATCATCTGCACTCCACTGCAGCTGTAGTTATTGTGAAGTAGGAGGTCAGTATCTTATCCCAGGTAAAATACTTCACGTCGCATGAACATAGTGTCTTTGGTTCACAAACTAAGCATGAGTGCAGTTTTCAGATTCTGGGTTGAGCCTTTAAAGAGCTTACAACACAGACAATATGAATACCTTACAGGGTTTGAGTTAGAATGGAAATGTGTATCCTCCTTTTAAAGATAAATATGAATCCACTGTATCAAAAATCCATTTATCTTGAAAAACAACAGATTAAAAAATGAGCCAAACTTGATTTTGCGGAAATAAATGATTAAGAAACACAGAGTGACGTTTCAACCTGCGTTCTTATAGTACAATGCATGATACAGTCGTAAGATGAGTAAGAGAACACTGAAACTGACAACATTTCACACAAAGGTAGGATGCTTTACAACCAATCTCATTCCAATATGCAACGGTGACCTTATAAAAAAAAAATCTTTGGTTTACGTTGTTTGCTTTTTTTAAAAAAAAGAAAGAAAGCTAAACTGATTGTGTCACATCTCAGCTCAAAAGTTTCCCCTGATTGAATCCATTGCAGAATCCTCTGATTAAAAATACAGCATTGTGAAAACACGCGTACATCCACTGACCTTTCTGAAATCTCTCGTATGCAATACAATCATTAAAAACTGCAATCGTTACCATTTGTGACATCGTAAAGGATAGTTTTATCAAAATACAAACAGTAAATTTGAATAATAGAATCATATACTATACCATAGATTTATTGTTTAAAATGTACTTTATATATATATATATATAGCTCTAACCAGGAAACATCTCAAATACAAACTTGAAAATTATCTTTTTAATTTGTTGAATTCATTCGCAAGGTGAAAAATCAGTGGGTGCACATTTACACATGACTGCACTGTTGCAACACAGACTGCTATCAATATAATATACTGTATTTCATGCTTATTATTTTCACCTACAATGTACAGACGTCTGTTTGCAACAGTTTTCGAGGAATTCTGCGACAGGATAATTTGGTTTGTGTGCATAAGATTGATTATTAATTGTCACTCCATCGTCATTGAGTGCCCGTGAATCCTGCCGGCACTTTCCCAGAGATTTAACCCACAACTCTCTTCACTCATTTTGTCGCAGGTCAAGGCCACTAATGTGCAAGGCTTCGTTTGTGGAGCAGCAAATCAACTGATCTCCAAGGCCGCGTTCAAACTCTTTGGTCGAATGTGTTTTGATTATTTCACCACTCCTCAGTAACCTTCTGCCAGAGATTAGTTGAGAGACTAAAATAAACTTGGGTAGCAAACAACTCTTTGGGTAAATAGCGTCACAGTCACCGCTGCACATTGGCTGATCATATAAAACTACTTGGCAGACAAGTGCTAATCTTTATCTACTCTACAGCAAAGCAAAAATACTACTTGGAACAAAACTACAATGTGTACTCAGTAGTACATATCTTCTAACAAAAATATAGATTTTTCATGGTGTTCATTCAATTCTTCACTTTCATCTCTGATTAAACACTTCCATTGCTTTTTATAGTAAAATCATTCTTCATGTGTTGCAACCTCACATGGAGCATCTCCCTCAGAGAGATTAGGCTTTGGTTTCAGCATGTGAGGGGCATTTTTCACATTAAGGCCAATTGTAAAGCTTTTCTGTACCGACATGCCACTGTAAGCACTTCTGGTGTGAATCTTTACGTGAACAAAAAGGAAGAAGTCAACAAAACTACAGAGGGGGGATTCCATCTGGTGGAGGTGGGGGAATGGGGGGGCACCGGAGCTACTGGCACACAATATCTGAGATACATTCATAGCATATTCTACTCGGCAATTACACACTACAACAGTTTAGTACTGAGAAGATACCCTGTCAGTTCACCATGTAACACTACATGACTTTTCAAATGTACTAAACCTTTTTCCCTGAGTTTAGGAAAACAATGAGACAACAAAATGAATTGTTAAACGAGGTAGTATAAAACAGGAGTAGCAAGGGCAGCTGCACACTGACACATAGACATTCATCTTTCCTTTCTTTCCATTACTCAATAATGGAGAAAATGAACACAAAAAATATTATTAATACTGGCTCAGTACCTCAGCGACATCTGAGGATATAAATAACAAACTGTTCATGTGTTCTACATCCTTCAGTCCACAGCACAGGTGGAGCGAGGAAAAATCTGCAGTGCCCTCACCATCCGGTAAATCAGAACAAAGTAAGAGAAAAAGACAAAAACAGGATGACAATCAGAAAGAAAGTCACCAGGAAGTATAAAATGTGTTGGAGCTGAAGCAGCCCATCACATAACAAAGGTATAAGTAGTTATTAAATATACAGTGGAAAGTTTACCCGGAGGTAAACCGAGGTAGATAATCAGCGACAAGGACTCACTCTTCCCTTTCGCTCCAGTGATAAAACTCTCTTAAATAATGTCAGAAATGTCACTTTTCACATTTTTGACAATCTCCTTTGAACATTCATGGTGGGTGAGATTTTTCTTTTCAAAAACAAACAAACACAACTTAAGAGAGAATTAAAAAAAGACATTCAAAAGAAAAACAAAGACGTAAAAGAAGTGAAATGACCTTCACTGCCAACAGTTTTTATAGTGGTTAAGAAAAAAAAACTCTCTCTCTCTCTTTCTTTCTCTCTCATACGCATATTCAAGCCTGTGGTAACTTCCAACAGAAAATAACTTCAGCAGTGTGACATGGAGGAATTGATTTTTCAAATCTGTCTGTGGCGAGTTAGTCTCTTCTCTTTTTCTTTTTTTTTTAAATCTTGGTGACTGCCACATTGTTGTATGTAGATAATCCTAACTCCCTAAAGGCCGGACTACCCCTTTAATATTTCTTTCATGGAGTGTAAATAACTGAAATGAATACCACCTTCTTCACACTCACTCTCACATGCAAATACAGACACACACATCCACATACAGCATACACGCACACATGCACAAGGACTCAGACATTCCTACAAACTTAGAGAGAAAGTGCGGATTGAGAACTGCTCTGAACCTCGTGGTGACAGCAGCCGTTCTCAACAGACTCCGTTAACTTCAGGTCCACCTGACTCTCCTCCGATAGCTCGTCGGGTTCATCAGCAGGGCCGCTGCAGTCTAAGCTGTCCTCTGCTGTCAGAGATGGCGGGCGGCTGCTGGCACCAGATGACAGGTTGGTCATCTCTGTCTCGTCGTGAGAGTAGCGACCAGAGTCCCCCGTTTCGTGGCTGCCCTCGCTGTTAGAGGATCCCTCTGTGTCGCCACGGTGTCCGAGCAGGGCCTGCAGGGTGCCGGGCAGGTCCGGAGAAACTAGCTCGTCCTCGAAGGTTAACATTGTGGTGCCCGGCTGGTAGGTGACGACGCCATGTCTCATATTCTGCAGCACAGAGAAAGTAACGAGAGTTTTAAGCTAATTTTTAAATGAAAGAGAGCTAATTTGAAATTAGCCATAAACTTAATAGTGTCTGTAATCCATATTAATGTTTACTACCCAATAAATGCGTTTCCTTTCTTCCAAATCATTTTGCTCTTACATAGACAACAACCTTTATATCCTCCTGACTTCCCACATGGTTCTTACTTACAGTGGAATCACAATCACCAAATAAGGAGCTCTTGAGCTCTTGTTAGGCTGAACTGATTATCATAGAACTTCCTCCTAAGAAAAGCACAACTTTCAACAAGGAGGCTGAGGTTTGGGAGTCAGGTTTTTATGAGACTCAATTGAAGTTTACAAACACTGTGTTGTATGATTTTTTCTCTACCGAACTACAAATTGCTGAGGACAACTGAAACAGCAGGATTTATGATTCTTAATCTTACCTGTACTGCTTTACTGTCCTTTGTCACATTATTGCTGAAGGAGAACCATTTCTTTTTCATCTCAGCACTGGGCTGGACAGGACCAAGGTAATTGATAATGAGATTTGTTCCACCCTACAAGTAAAATACAGTGAATACGAATGAGTCATATCCAGTATGAAATATAAATCAATATGAAATTGATACGACTTCTAGTGGCTTTACTACTCTACATTTTATGTAGTTATGATAACTTCAGCAACAAAAATCAATTTTCCAAACATCACATTTTTACAATATATTATGATTATGATGTTAAAATAACTTATTTAAGTTTTAATTCCATGTTTCTGTAATAAGTTTTAGTACCTTTGCATCAATGAAATGGTTTTGACTCATCATTGGCACAGTCACATCAGCGTTCTCAGCTTGTCCGTCAGAGCCCAGCTGTCCTGCAGCCGAGGTAGATGTGCTCACTCCTTCTCTGTAAGTTTTAGCAGCTGAAAATTTCCTGCAGGGAAACAAACATGACGTCATTACGAACTGAAAATACTCCAGGATAACAGTTTTTTTCTTTTGATGTGTCCAGACAAACTTAAGTACCTGTTTTTGCCTCGGCAGACAATAATGAAAGCGCATATGATGATGCAGATGAGAGCAATGCAGACACCCACAGTGATCCCTGTCATTGATTTTTGGTCCAGGTGGTAGAAACCATCAGAAAAGCCTGCAAAGGATTAGGAAACACTGTGAGATTATAGTGTATACATTATGATTACCATATTTCAGTTTCAAAAAGGACCTTGAATAGTTTCACATCATTAGATATCTAATGATTCAATCAGGACAGTGTTGACGGCACTTACCTGTGGAGTGCCGAGGGTCGGAGGAGAGATCTGACCACACTGTCAGCTCCACTGTGTGAGAGAATGGTCCATCACCCATGCTGTTGGATGCAGAAACTTTCACCAGGTAAACCTGACCAGGCTTCAGGTTCTCCAGCAGTGCCATGGTGATAGATCCTGTTGATGAGATTTAACTCTGGTGTTTAACTGCACATTGTGAATACATTGTTGAAACAGGACTTTTATCTTCTAAACATGTAATTAACTGGTGTTTTAACAAGGTTACTGCAGCTCTCATGTATGAATAACTTGAAAAGCAGTGGCAGTATCTGAAACTCATAAATATCCAACACAATTTTAGTTTTTTAAAATCACATCTAATTTTTCACAATTAAATAATTTATGGGTAAATTCTGAGGTAGTTCAGTGCATAGAACTAATACAAATCAAGTCAATTCATGAATAAACTAAGAACCAGAGATGTATTTGTTATAAGACCTGGGGCCTGAGTTAGAAGTTATCTGGTCAAAAATGTTTAACTGTGTTTAGTGGTACTATATGGTACTATTTGAATCCGTAGTTCAACATTTTAAGACATTGGTTTATTTGTCTGTACATTCAATATAAAGCTGCAGCTAATCATCTGAGCTTATCATAAAGATTGATAAAGCGGGGGATACAGCCAGCCTGACCCTGTCCAAAGGTGACAGCGGATCGTTCCCTTATCCAGTACCACCCACTTTAAAGCCACCAGGGTCCCAGAAGAGACTGAAGGGGGCTGGGTGTTCAGTGTGAGTTTATAGGGGGCTGGGCTGAGCTGGTCTGGCTTTGTGAGCATCTTCAATTTTGACTCTTCCCCAGAAAAAGAGAGAAAAAGCACCTACTCTGATGACAGATACAACAGATTCTTTAAGCATAAATTCTAAGACAAAAATTATAAGCGTCAAAATGTTACTATGTTTTTCTGCAGACGACATTACAGGAAATTTTGAATCTTGTTTTAAAGTATGTAACTATGACCGGAACACAAAATATCTTCTGAAAATTATACCACTGGCATACTAATTATGGACACAGTGATGTCTGAACATAGAGTGACTAGAAACTCTCCAGTTACACAGTAACTATCTTCTGGGATTTCTCCACAGGAACAGAAGATTCAGCTTTTTACAGCAGCACAGAAAACACACAAGCTAAAATCTGTGGGGTGCAGCATTTTTTTCTCAGAGTGAGAGTGGAAACCTTTATTTTATTGTATTACTAAGATCATCTCTGGATCCGATGCAAACAGAGAAATAGACACATTCACCACTGCTGCACTTTGATAGGAATCTGTGGTCTTTGTGTGAACAGCGTCAATAAGTCGGAGCTCAACCAGTCATAGCACCCAGACATGAGAGTGATATGCTCAAGTGGATGGAGGGGATGATCAAATGAGTTACTGATTTCCAATGGACCATTTCTCTGGGACTAAGACAGAGGCTTAGTGTGTGCCCCCTCCTCTGGACTCCTGTATAATGTCTCTACTTCTCGCCCCACTCCGCTCCTTACCTTCTCTTTGCAGCACTTGCCATTTTCCAGCTATCCAAGCATTTCTGGAGGCGTACAGGATTGTGTAGTGTGTCACGGCGATGTTGAGTTCATCTGGGGATTTCCATGAAACCAGCGCAGTATCCTCCTCAATCAGAGTTACTTTCACATTGGAAGGGGGAAGCATGGGAGCTGCGGATGAAAATAACAAGGTCAAATAAATACTACACACAAAGTGTCTTTTCAAAACCAACTTTGTTTGTTAATGCAACAACAACAGTAAAAATTAATATGTATCTTACAGTAATATTACAGCATCTCTATCTGTGATGTAACACCTCAAAAGCACATACAAATCTACCTAATGGTACACTAGAGTATATTCAGTAAATATATTTAAATGTTTAGTGCTCACCTTCAGGGAAAGTGCTCTGATAGACCACAGGGCTCCAGGGGCTGGAGAGCTGATCAATGTGAAGGCGAACAGCAAATTCATACTTGGTGTTGGGCTCCAGATCTCGTACCAGAAGGCTCTGTTCATTCCTGCAGAAGAAAGACGAATCAGTTGACTTGAAACATCTTTTTTTCATCAAACTAAGGTCAAAGCAGATGTGTCTGAAAATGTGTTCATCAGCTCCCCTTTAATAATGGCCAGCAGGTGGGGCTATGGAGCTGTGCTGACTGACAGAGGAGCATAAACAGAGATACCGATGAGCTGTGAGCTTCTCAACCCTACAGGTGTGAGGAAAGCATCTGTGCTGTTAAGTGTAAAAAATAAACACTTGAGGTGGTTCAGCTGAGTTTAGGCTGTGATGATGGACTACTGCTGAACAGTTAAACTACAGTCAATAACAGAACATTAAGATAAAAGCTAAACTATGGTGTGAGCAACAAAGACAAGGACGTCACACAAAACACAGTTACTAGCTTATCGATAGTATAGCTTATCAGGTGACCAGAAACAACAACCAATAGGCTACAAATAGACTAACATAAACAAAACTTCATAAGAGATATTTATATCAAACATGTTAAGTTCAGCTATTTATTGAAATCTGCAATTAAGTGGTCAAAATGGATTAATGCTTCTTTAAATGAATCATAGCCATGTATTTAGACGAAATTCTTACGTCTGCAGGTAGAGCACCAGGGAGGCGTTCTGCAGGCCCACAGGGTTGCAGCGGATGGTGTAGTTGACTGCATGGCTGGAGGTGAAGGCTGGTCGGCCCCAGTGTAGAAACATGGCTGTGGAACTGTTGGTCTTGGCGTACACATTGTGTGGTGGAGGTGGAGGAGGCACCATTCGATCTCGAACAGCTGAGAGAAACATTATAATGTTATTTTATACAAATGATAAGATCATGCTGCAGGCACACTGAAATAATATCCTTTCAGGTAAACTTTATGACTTACAGACACATCCAGGGGTGCTGATAGTCTGGTCTGCCTGGTAGCCATCTCCGAGGAAATTATAAGCCAGAAGTTTAACGTGGTACTTCTTCCTTGGATCTACATTTAGAAAAAGAGAGAAACCAGAATGTGATAATAAATCACATCATAGAAACATGAAAAATTGCTTCTAGCTGTAAAATACTTAAGTCTACTGTGTGGTGTCTCAGATCTGGACTTTGAGTAACTTTCATTTTTAATTTTAGTTTTATTGTCACCATCACTCTGAATGCAGTGTAATAATTCAATGCAGGCCTTAACGCGGTGCCAGATGACAATGTGATTCTTTCGGCCAACAGGAAGCAGGGGTGCTACATGAAAGAGAGCTGGACTGTGTGGGTGTGGGGTCAGGGAGGTTCTTTCCAGTTTGATGGTGTGGTGGGAACGAGAGGTGAGGCAGTGTGACAGATGCTCAGTGCCGTGAGTCCTTTGGTCAGTTTCTGCAGCACTCAGGGCAGCAAGAACACAAGAGCTCCTCCACTATCCATCACCTTGTCACCATGTCTTTTCAACACCAATAAGACGGACCATTCTCCAGCCCCAGTCAGGCCTGCTGGTCAGTGGTCAGTGGCCCCTTCTATTTAGGTCCAGGATCTGGGGGTTAAATCGACTGACAAAATCCCCTGGGAAGGACATGGCTGATGGTCAACAGCAGTTGCTGAATAAAAGCCATCTGACCAAATGTCCCTTTACCTTTAAAATAATGTTGATGTGGGACCAAGTTAAATGTTGTGTACAATATCAGTTCTGTAAGTCATATATGTAATACAAGTAATGTGTTTTCTGATGTGAAAAGTTTTAAATAAGTAACAGGAGTGACACCCTCCTATTTTTTACTGCATTATAAAAAGGATGTCTGATGTTCAGTATATATTTGTCTTAAAATAAATATTGAGTTACTTTCTAAACTGTTTCTGCTCACTTCTAGGTGAATAGTAACTTTTATTAACTGTCCAAAATGTTGGACTATAGATTTCGGACAAGCAGGATATCAAACAGGTATATTAGTGATGTAAACATGTATTTTACATAAGATTTTTTCACAATTGAACACTCAATGTATCTTGAGCATATCACTAGCATTGTGTTCCTGCAAGAAAAAAGGACAAAAAAGCTAACTAACTTCTGTTGTAGTATTAGACATTTAGGAGGTTGAGAAAAGAGGGAGACCACAGGAGATGAATGTGTGTCCAGGGAGGTTAAAGGAGTTTAGGAGGGGTGAAGTTGAGTTACTTCCACCCCCATGCAGCCCTGAGGAGTTTCACTGGAGCCAGACCAGGGCCAGCAGGTCAGGCCAAGATAAAACTTTGAAAGAATCTGGGGTCATGGGTGTGGAATATGAGATGAGCCTCTTTTTTTGCATTTGGATTTGCATTCTCGCTGCCTACAACTTAACGACTTACTGGCAATAAGAATTAAGGGCTAGAAGCAAAAACTAAGACACAATATAAAGTGTATCATGAGTAGCTGGCAGAGTTATCTTTGCAGAATAAGTTAAACGTTAACTATGTAATGACTGAACATAGAGATTATCTGCCTGAAAACAAGACACTTCTTTTTACATGTGTCCGTTTCTTGTTGCAATAGATAAATAAAACCAGAAGGTAATTTCTGTACAATGTTATTATCTAGAGTTTCTGTGTAGTTTATTAAGCCTGTCCACTTCTAAAGAGAGGAGCAGGCATGTAGTATGCACCTCCACCCAGCCCACAATACAATGGAACTGCCGTAATTATGCGAGAGAGGAGCTCTGAGAGGGGGGAAGCTGTGACATCTGGGCCATGACCTTTGACATGGAATCTTGGCAAGCTAAATCCTGCAAAAGGAGGGGTTACAGGGCTCTCTCTAAAGGGGGAGGGTCAAGCAGAGGAAGTGAGTGGAAAAACAGGGAAACTCCATGAGTCAAAATAAAATGGCACTTAGTAGGTGGTGACAGTGTCCTGATAAGAGAAAACACAGCGGACAGGTTTGTTTTTCACCCACAGTGGAGCAGACACCTGAAGCTCTCAACAACAACAATGTGTTGGGACCACAAACACTATTTATTACATCCTGTGGCATCCACAAACAATGGCATTATATGAAACCACCAGGATGTTACTTATCCATCCATAACACAACATACCTACTGCACAGAATGGCTGCCTATTTTTATGCAGCCAATTCATCTTTAGAAAGTGTTTTCATTTAGTGTATGAAATGTCAAAAAATCACAACTTCTCAGAGCCAAAGTGAATATTTTCAAATGCCATGTTTCGTAATTTTACAATGATGTGGAAAATAGACAAAAGCAGGAAATGCTACTATTAACAAAAAGTTACAAGATATAAATAAAAATATATATGCATGTACACACTATATTCTTAGAGTGCTGCTTTCTGCTTTAGATGCCATTCCTTGTAAAGATATTTTCCTGTCCTTCCCACTGGGAAAGATCTCATATGACCTTAGTCTCATAAATTATGTTGTTGTATTAAAGGGCATATTTGAGCCATTTGTGGTCACAACCAAAATGCAGATCCTGTTGGGTTTGTTCAGCCCTGTGAAAGGCCCCCCAGGCCGCAGTAAGCCAGGCCTGAACAGGGGCCATAAATGTCAACTCCTGTATGAACCCTCACACCAGCATCTATCATCTCTCTCTCACTCCCCCCTGTCCCTCTGTTTTGCTTTTACTCATACAAGTCAATGCAGCACATGACACAAACACTCACACATGTTAAAAACCCCAAAACTTTAAATAAATGCTAGAATACAAAAGTTTTCATACCTAGAATGCTTTAACTCATGTTTGAAGAAGGGATTGGAGACAATGCAACATGGCCTGCAGCTGCAAGATAAATCTATAGTTGTGCACAAAGTGTTTCCTGGTGACAACAGGTACTGTACGAGAGGTACTCAATCCATGAATTTGGCTACACGTCCTTCTCATGGACCAAGCAGAGAATACACACACGAGGAAAGGTCACATCACTGTCATTTATACCCAACTGGAGCCCCTCACACACATTCCTCTCGCTCAGGGTGGGCTTTCAATCACTTGGATCATCATGAGTGATAGGGCCAGCTCGGAGCATCTTCTGCAGCAGTGCACAGATCTGAATCAACTGTATTCAGTATTGCCACATCTGATAGTTCAGAAATCAATGTTATTGGCAAAGACAGGATGGCTGCTGTGTACAACGTCATGCTGATTATAGGAAAAGCCATTTACAGTACAAGCAAATTGAATTTGCAGAGGTCAGCTGTCGAGAAAAATCAGCATTCGTGAGTCTTGAGGACATAAAATCTGGACTTTTGCATTACAGCATGCGTGGCTTCAAATCTTCAAAATGCAGTTTAAAAATACAGTATAATATAAAAAGTATAAAATTCTCGCATATAAGGGAAAAAGACGGTTCCGCTTGTAAACAAATATTTAAGCTCAGTTGTAATAAATATGCTCAACTCAGTATACTATATCATTGAGTGAGTACACTGACTTTATGAATCCTCTCAAATTTTAGCATTTAGCATTGAATAATATCAGGGCTGCCTCTAAATCTATATACATGTTTAAACTTTACTGTATTCAGTTTGCTTTCATTTTTAAATCTAGAAGTTTTAAAGAACAACTTCCTTTCATATACTTCAACAAGTTGTCTTCCCTTCCATTGATGAAACAGTTACAGCAGTTTTGAAGAAATAAGTGATAATTGGTAATTGGCCTCAAAGCTAATTAGTCAGATTCCTCGGAGCACAGTGAGGCCTTCTGTGCTGCAGGAAGTGTTGCCACACATGAGGTCAGATGCTTTACATCTCTCTCCTCGTGCAGAGTGCTGCAGCTAATTCATGAGACAGAAATCTAAGAAAAGTAAGACATTGAGCTCACAAGACACAGTGTTTGGCCCACAGCTTCGTTAGTGATAGGCTGTATTTCCTTAAAGTCTTGGCTAATAAACTGTCTTTGTGGCTTTTAAATACAAACACAATGAGAGTCTTTGATGTCAATGCTCCTCCAGCAATACATGCTCACAGCACTCATAAAACACATAATAAATCAGCCTCCACAAAACAGCTTCCCTCTCTTCGAAACACAGCCCTTTATCAAAGAGGAACAAAAAGATCATTCTTTTCATCCGACTGAAACTTTATTTTTGTAGTTTGATGCTAATCTTGCTGATTGCCTTAATATTTATCTTCAGCAGCGACTGCAGCTTCCTCTTCCTCTTATTTAATTTTTCAGAGTGATCTCATTAAGCAAAAAATAGCCTTAGGTGACTTCCAAATGCTCCATATGTAATAAATACACCCATTATGACAATAAAATTTACTTAAAATGAACTAACTTATTGTAAAATCTCCTAATGTCATTATTAAATTGTAACTTTCATGGTAAGTTTTTTCTGGCGTTAACATAAATTGTAGTTCTGTTTAAATCATTAAACTAAATAACTAACTAAACGCCTGCAGGGGTTAGAGTTAACACCTATAGTAATTTAGAGTTCCTCCTTGTCTTTCCTTCTCTTTTTCTGATCCTGTTCCAGCACTGAACTTCCTGATTGATAAGTCAGCTGCTGACCACCTGGTTGACCCCCTCTGGCCACAGATGGTCAGTTGTCCACTTCATTGGCTTGAGCCCCCCCTTCCTCTTTCAAAATCAAAATGGGGCCAAAATGAATCTGACCTAAAGGCCACAAAAGCTGTGATACCCACAAACACCATCCAGCAGCTGATGAAAAGACACACACACACACACACACACTGAAACCCCACACAGAGGTTGGGAGGTCATGGAAGTGGGAAGTGGTGCTCCTCTGTTCCACACTTTGTGAACCTCTGCTCGACACATGACAGGACTTTGGCTAATTAATCACTCATGAGTTTGGCTGACAATTGATGCAGCTGGTTCAAAAGACATTCATCCAAAATGTACTTTACACTTAAGACTTTTTGAATGTAAATAATGAAGTTGACATGCAATTAAAAACTCTGGATTGTCTTGGAGTAATTTGTAGGAATATAGAGCTGCATACGTAAATCCTTCTATGTTGTTGTATTCCTCCTTTTGTTTTTCTTCTTATATACCGGTATATGAACAATGATTCTTCAGCTGGCTAATGACCAAATATAATCACCAATAATCATTACAATTTCAATACTAACATTGACATACATTAAGTGCACCCACTTATGCTCGTAAGGTCGATATTACCCTAATTAAAGTTCGAGAACTACAATTCCTGTCACTGTACTGTTCTGTTTTTTTTTACTTTAACATTTTATACATGATAGACAAACAAATAAATAATCAAGCGACAACCGCAACAAGATATTGCTTTTCCAATCCATAAAACAACCAACCATGAAAATACTGTCTATAATATCCTGCATACACAACATACAGGTAGCACAGAGGCAGGAGGAACTCAAATGATCTGAAGTAAAACTCACCGAGGCCTCCGATGGTGTGTGTATTATCCGAGGCGCGCAGCTGAATTGGGGCGTTCTCCGGCTGGCTCTCCTCATGGTAGAAGAGTCTGTAGCCTTGCACACCGACCGAGTTTCTGCTCGTCAACTGCCAGCGCGCCAAGATAGTGGTGCAGTTCAAAGGCTCCAGATGAAGCTCGGGAGCCAGAGGTACTGTGGAAATAAAAGTGTTTTTAGTGATTACTTTTTAAATGGGTTTACAATCCTACACTGAAACAAGTCCTTTCAGTTTCACGATAATAAAAACCCTGGATAAACGACTGATCAAAATATTACTCTGTGAGTCAAACTATATATTTCATCATCATTTTCATACACACTGTCATTACTATTTATACCATGACTCCAAGTTTTCAGGAACTGGAAGTTGTTCCTTGAAAATTGGAAAGTGTTTCCGATGTAATTGTGACGGACAGAGGAGGCCTCTGACCAGCATTTTCTTTGAAAAGTGAAACTACCAGCTGCTTCACACTGTTGCACACCAGAGGCTACAGGTCTAACAGTCAAGTGATTTCACACATTTTTTCTTTTAGGAATGAGGAGTATGAAGTTTACCGAAAGAGGAATCCTGTCCTGAGTTTAAATTGAAGACAGGGGGCAACAGAGATGGGCAGGAAAAACAAATACACCCTCCCCCCTACCACAAAGCTTCAGATGTAGCTCTAAATAGCCATATACTCTTTCCCACCCGGAGGCCTGATTCCCTTTATGACCCATGACTGAAGCCCTTCCAGTGTTACTAACAGTGGAAGGCAAAGGTCACAGAGTAACAAACCCAATGCCTTAACAAGATTATTAGAGCAAGCTCTTCTCTGTCTCTTTGTTTAGTGACAATTCATCTTTTAGGTCAAATTCTTCTCATGTGTACATGAGAATCCTTAATCACACAATTTTATATCAGAAATCGTGAAGACCTAATGCTATACCTCGTGCACTGGATGCCTTGGGAGTGCGGTGAGATGTCCAGGCTGACTGCTCACCAAACCCTATGCTGGTGGCAGCATTGATGCGCAGAAGGTAGATGGTGTCAGGCTGCAGGTTTTCCAGTAGATGATTCGTCTTCTCTCCAGGTAGCTCTATCTGTGAGACTGTATTCTCAGCACTGGTGCGATAGGACAAACGATAAGCAGAGACTCGGCCGCGGCTCAGCTTGTCTGGAAGAGGCTGCCAAGACACCTGGATGTCTGTGGGGCTACGGCTAGTGAGGCTGAGCTCAGGGGCTCTGAGGGGAACTGCACACAGAGAAAACAAGATACATATGACTGAAAGCAGTTTTGTATCATGCAGTAAAACTAAGATAATGCACAAAACAGAAAACATCTTAGGGAGCTACAGTTAAAATATATTTCAGATTTATAAAATACTGCTCCAGTTCAAATTAAAGAAGTTTAGATACTAACAAAAGTTGGGGCGTGACAAGGTACTTGGCGTGAAACAATCATTTTGTAAATCCATGATTCAATGTTCCATGGCTTTTTTGAATCAATATGATAAATTACTTTGATCAAGTATTAAATTGGATGGAGTAGACAAAACAGACATTCCTGTCTGGTTGTTGAATCCATCAACAGATTTTTAGTCCATTTTATCCAGATGTCCACCTTTTTCAAACTGGCCTCGTGGTGGCTGCAGTGTGTAGTGGAAACAGTGATATTTATGATATTCATGATAAAACGTTACAGCCACAGATTCTGCTGTCATGTAGAACAGACACACAGCATCCTTTGACCCACAGGCCAAGACCTGGACCAAATGAGGTTATCTGGGGCATGGGACATCCAGAACATAGACAGCATAAATATACATGAAGCTGTGCACAAAGACACATGCATACATGCACACACACTGTGCACACAAATAACTTGTTTCTTATGTCAACAACAAAGCTCATTCGCTGCAGTTTAAACATCTTGTAAACACAGTCACTGAGCTCCCACTGGATTAACAGTCTAATTGAATGTTAAAAGATCAATTACTCTACTACCCCCCCTACTTCTGATTTTGTATTTATTGTGGGATTGACTTTGTTTATGAGCACCACTGGGTTCATCCTCACCATCCTCGAGCGTGTGCTGGAACACGTGGTCCGACATGCGACTGGCTCCCATGGGCATGTAGGCCACAATGTAGAAGGTGTAGTTGCGAGCTGACTCCAGGTCATCAATAATGTAGCGAGTCGTATCGTTTCCAATGACAACTTGATATTCCTCGTTGTTTAATCCTGGACAAATGACAACATTGTAAAATTAGTTAAAATACTTAAAATTATTCAGTCAACAGTCTTATCACCTGTGGAAATACACATTTTGGAAGGCGAGAATGCCCACACACCATTTGAGCTCTGATAAACACATTCAGCTTACACTTCTTCTGGAAGAGGGGCCTATGCCAGAAACATTACATAGATATGTTTAGGGGGGATTAACTGTTGTGTGGAGATTCTTGCCTTCTGATTTTCATCACGTCTGTCCAGCAACTAAAGTTTCTATTCAAACTATCAACTTTGAATGTGTGTGCTCCTGTATAATTTCAGAATACAGTATTGGACCATACTTTCAATTTGTTACATGATAAAATGTAGTCTTCAATTCAAAATCTTTTTTATGCATGATAGTGGGATTGAAAAATATTGCACAGCTACAATTTTCAATATGGGAAACAGACTGACATTAATATCCATGTCTACATGCAATAACTTTTCAAATAAACCTCTGTTTAATAGTGATTTGATGAGTGCAAAGTCAGAAAACATTATATGTGCCCTGGCTAGAAAGAAAATACCTGGTGCAATTTTTAACTTGGTAAATGAGGAACATAAAAGTAAAAAAAAAAAGAATTCTGCATCAGTTCCTCACACTCTGAATGAATCAGTAAGCCTTCCCTGAAACATGTAACAAAGTCTGCCTTCCAGTCCAATCCCTTTATTCTCCCATTCCCCTAACAGAAAACACACTTTAGGACACTCCATCACATGGACTAATTAGTTCCTCTTTTTTGTTAAAGCCTCCATTTACTGCCAGGCCTCTCTGACTACAACCTCAGGTGAAGAGTGCACTGTCAGATACTCTGTCAATGTCAATGAATAGCTACTCTTTGTGACTGGGACTGAGGAGATTGTGCAACTAGATTGAAATCAAGAGCAGAAAATCCTTGACGGTTATTGAGGAATAAACTGGGAGAATTTGTTCAACAAGGTCTTTTTATTTTGACCTCTTTATCCTCAACAAAATCCAGCAGGTGTTTCTTTTTTTCTGGGTGAATTCTGTTTGTCTTACTTCCCCCAATTGGAAGTCAGCAGCATTTTAATTAAGTGCTGTGGTTGAATGAACAAGCTTAAGTTTTTTCTGAGATGTTGTATTGTTAGTATGTGACTTTTGTCAGTTCCCAGGGAAGCTGACACACTACAACCCTTGTGCTTTTTGTGGTTTTGTCTGCATTCTGCATTTTATCAGCCAAAGGGACAATGCATCTTAAAACTCCACAGGACTATGGTCTATGTATTCATGTTTTTCAATTCCAAGAAGGACATTCATACTTATTTTAGCACATTTGAACCCTATCAGTATTGGTTTAATCTGAAACCATAAACCACATGAAATCAACTATGTGCAGCCTTGATATAATTCCCACGAAATGTCTTAAAGAGGGAAGTTTCACACTTGGGCCCAGTATTCTACTGATTCTTAATAGATCCTTTGAATTTTAAACACAATGTGCTCCAACCTCTTTTACAGAATCCCGACCTTGATTCCCTCCCTATCTCTAAAATTCCCCTTTTATCAAAGGTTTACGAAAAAGTGGTTTGAACCCAACTTTTAGCTTTTATGTGTCATAATAACATCTTCAAAAGATTTCAATCAGGTATTAGAGCTTTACATAGCATAAAAACTGCTCTCATCAAAGTAACCAATGGCCTCCTTTTAGCAGCTGATAGACTTACCACAGTAAGTGCAGTCTTTGATATAGCAGATCATGCAATTTTAATAGCCGTCTTAGAACCTGGGGTGGCATCAAGGACACTGCACTTAGTTAGTTTGATTCCTACCTTTAAGAGAGAACCTGCTCGGTCACCAATCACCATAGGTAAATACATATCCTCCAAAACTCACATTACCTGTGGTGCATCACAAGATTCGATTTTAGGCTGAATGTTATTTTCCATTTATATGCTTCCTCTTCCACCACAACGTCTCCTTCCACTGCTACGCAGCTGACACACAGACATACCTTCTGCTGAGACCTGATGACCCTGACAGCCTAGCTGTTGTGTTAGACTGTCTAAATTATGTCAACTATTGGCACAAAAGTACCTTCAACCCAACGACTCGAAGTCAGAAACAATATTATTCGATTCACCTAACACCATCAAACACAATGAACGTATAACCTTGATTTTAAGATTTTCTGATCACCTTTAAAGCATACAAGGGCCTGGCCCCAAGCTACATCACAGTAAAGTTTAACCCTTATGTGCCTGTACGCAGCCTCAGAGCATCAGGTGGAGCCCTGCTGGCTGTTCCAAAGTCGAAGTTGAAAATTAAAGGTCACCGTGTTTTTGCCATCAGGGGCCCATCGGCTTTGGAACGACCTACCTGAGGGGATTAGGCTCGCAGAGTCATTTATTTCTTTAAAATCACTCACCTTCAGCCTTCATGTAGTGCACCGAGTAAGCAATAACTTTATCGGAGTTATACAGAGGTCTCTCCCAAGCCAGAAGGATCGCAGAGCTCGACACCGTGTCAGCTCGGATATTCCTGGGTGCGCTCGGTCGATCCTCTGACATCACCACAATGAGCCTCGCCATGGAGAGGACTGATCCCTGCTCATTCTCTGCCTGGCACTGATAGATGGCATCGTCCTCAGGTATGATCTGGTTGATCACCAGTTTGCTGCGGCAGACACACAAACACAGATGGTTTCATCCTGGGGCTGCTTCACTGGGTTGTTTTCACCCTATAATTACCTCTAACAAGACGGTTGAATAAGGAGCAGGAGCAAATTATAGGAAACTCACTAAAAGCCCATTTGCACAGCTTTAAATTATTTATTTTCCTTTCTACTGTAGGTAGTTAATTATTCAGTCCAATTGTTTTAAACTAGTCAATAATGACTGGTAAAAGCATTTCTCATGGTTAAAGGAGTTAAAGCTCAAGTTTATTATCTCTGTGCAAACAAAGTAAATACATTTGGCATGTCAGAAAAATGTATTTGATCACAGGAATGAGTAAGTAAACAGAGGAAAAAATACCTGTTGTACATCTTGATTCGACCATTTGAGTGAACTCTCTCTCCGTTCTTGAGCCAAGTGATTTGAGGCGTTGGAACTCCTTCAGCTTGGCACACAAAGCGGGCGGTGCCAGCGCGTGGTCGGGTCAGGCTCTCCGGCCACTCCACCAAAGAGGGGGGTGCTTTGGACAAAGAACATCAGTAAGAAAAAGCTTAACATATGAAGCTTTTCATTTATGAATCATCAATGGATAATCAAAGCATACACAATTAAACTTCTGTGTACTGAGCATTACCTAACACAGTGACGTTGGCTGAGGCAATTGTAAAGTTCCGCGTGCCGGGAGTGGTGGCTCTGCACATGTAGACTCCTCCATGCTTCGGCTTGATGTCTGTGATGATGAGGTTTCCATTTCCCAACACTTTAGTGTTGTAAACATCAATGGACTTGCTGTCTGCTCGGCTCCAGGAGATGATGGGTCGGGGATTGCCTGTGGCCATGCACTCCAGGATGGCATTCTGGTGGAGGGACACTGAAATGTTCTGGGGCCCAGTGATGATGCGTGGCCTCTGGGGAAGCTGGGGGCTGAGAGCTGCAGAGAGAGAGGTAGAGGGGGAGGGAGAAAGCTTTACAGCATATGTTTTTGTAGCTTCAGTGAAAATGCTATCTCTCTGCTGTCCCTTTAGCTAATGAATAAGCCTTTCAACAAACGTTGAAAGACATGACCTCTGGGTAAAATCCGGGCAACTGGCTACGGAGTTTGCAAAAGTTTGCCTTTCACACATGCACAACGCAGCAGGAGGTTCTCTACACAGACACGTTCACATCAGCATCAAATCCTATGCGTTATTCAGGCGAGAGGTGGAGCAGCCGGGTGAAGCAGACAGAGACAGGAACTGACGTATTATGTCCGCTGTGTAGATCACAAGATCACGTTTACAGCACCGGACGGTGTTGGCTATTTTTTACCATAAACTATCTTGACATCTTGTTACGTGTTGAAGATCTGTACAAAATACATTTATCAAACGCGAGTTAGGTGACTGACCTGGGGTGACAGTGAGGGAGGCCTCCGTGCTGCGGCGGCGGCTGGCAATGTTGGTGGCGATGCAGCGGTAATTTCCAGCATCTGCCCGCTGCACCCCATGTATTTGAAGAACACCACTGGACAGGACTGTGATTCTGAAAGACAGAGACACACACAAATATGGTCAAACTTTTATCCCTAAGAAAAACATGTTCTATGTTTGCCTTTAAAAAAAAATCTGCTGTAGAACAAGGATGTATGAAATGTCAACAAGAGAGTGCATACCTTTCAGTGGCAAGGGGTAATGTGACCCGATTGAGTTCCCAAGTGATGATGGGAGGAGGGTGGGCACTGATTTTGCAGGAAAACCTGGCGACTGAGCCTTCAGTTACCACTATGGGTGTCGGCTGGATTGCAAAAGAGGAGATACCTGCAGTGAAACAGACAAGAGTGTTTTTTATGGTCAAATGTGTGACAAACTGGAATATATTTGTTCTTCTATAGTGTCTCACATTAAATCCCAATAAACATGTAAAACTGAGACAAATTTTCAGTAAGGGGGATATTGATCACACATGAGATTTGTAGGGAGTATCCATGCTTTTATTCTTAACATGTCTTTACAGATAATGTCAAAGGAAAATCCTTTCCCTTGAGGTGTTTCTTTGTTGTAGAAGCCGGTGTTATATTTGTTGTTTTAGTCCTTGCTTTGACACTAACAAGTCAAAGCAAAGACATGAAATCAGGGTTAAGAGGAAGCTCCTCAATCAGGAAGGAAACATTTGAAACTTTTATAATTTGAATCAATATTATCATAACATTTGTATTTATGGAACAATACGTTTTTCAGTCAATTGGTGTAAAATCTCGGATGAATTACTTTCCCTTCATCTCCAAACATATTGATGTATTTCAGTCACATCCAGTGGACGTCAGAGAACAGAGATGCATGCCTATTACCTAAAGCTACAGACCTGCTGAGTGCTGCAGGAAGGTGATGACTGGATTAGAACAGCTACATTCAACGTGGATAAGGTTTCCCTGAAACCGAGCTGTTGCCAGCCACCAGCTGAGCAGCAAGCAAATAAGGCCCAACATGAATTACAACAAGTCCTTTTATCGGGAACAAAAAAGCCAAAAACTGTATGATAATGATGTTTATAATGATTGAAGTTGTTTTGAATTCTTTTTGTTAATTAATGCTCTCTTCGGCAGTGGCTCCTCCTAGGTCATAAAAGCCATTAAGGTCACACAATTCTGTCCCATCCCCCTCTGTGCTCAAAAAGCTGCAGAAGCCCCGGATCAATCATTTGTTAAACAAAATCAATTGCACTGATGTTCTGATAGAGAGTGAGCACTGAGAGTACCAAAAGAAAAGAAAAACTAAAAACAATGAGCATTGCAGCTGCCAACATTAAATCCATCATCACACATCAAATCATCAAGGTACAGAGATGCACATATCAACACACAGTCAAGGATTATTCCAGTGGACCAGAAAAATTAAGCTGTATAACTTTTCAGCTATTTGCATTTTCTAAAGCTCCATCACAACATAAGTAATAAATAAACAAATACACTCTGATGATGTTTAACCTTCTTGCAACGAGTCATCTGCATTCAGCAAAGAAGATACAGAAACTAGTATGAAGCAGGACATCAATTTAAAACTAAATCTGTTAGAAAACATAAAAAATATCCAAAATGTTTCTATTCTGCCACAAACAGAAATACACGTATGTGGACAACTTTAATGCGGAAGCTCATTATCTTATTCTGAAGTCAGAAACCACACAAGAAACAAACACATGACTTTCTTTGTGACTTGCACATTGCCTGCCTCATTTGTTAGGGTAGTGAATTGAATAAGAACATTTTTATCAGTAGAGTTTTCCACAGACATACAACACCATGCTGTAGTAACCTTTGCTTTCGAGAATAGGAAATCCCTCCACTGTCGTAAACACACAGCAGAGTTTATGAGGGCCATGATGGATGACGGTGTGTAGGCAGTGTTGCCAGGTGTTGTGGTGCTAAACAGCAGTAGAGCTGCCAGAAAAAAGCAACGTGCCTTAACATTTCTAAATTAATTTCTTAATAAAATAGAAAATTGTTTGCTAAACATCTGTTTCCCACACTTTGGACGAAAGTCTTGTCTGTGTGACCGCTATCGTTTTTGTTAAACCACAAACGAACTGTTGTCTGATCTTTTTACCATGGACACATTTAATTGAATTAATCCTGACCGCTTACCCCTCTCAGCTCCACTGTGGTTGTTTGATGTGAAGACAGCAGTGGACAGAGCCCCCCACTCCCCACTCCTCCACCCCCCTCAGTTAACACAGGCTCTTACAAAAATGCCATTAATGTGCTGAAGTGATATGACTGCAGGGCATGAGAGATGAGCTGCACTGATCCTCTGCCTCTCTACTTCACTGCTCCATTCAGTCAAATGATGGTGGATTGACAAACAGTGAGAAAATCATTGATTATTGATAAACTACTAAGATAAGGTGAAAATCTATATCCAGCTTTAGCCAGAGCACTCCCAACTGAAATTAGGAGGGTGACCTTCTACTTTCTGCCAGGGAACATCTAATTTGAAGATTAAATGATCTTTGTGTGTTGCTGAAGGGGAAAAAGAAACATCTTAGTTTTGTTTGCCATAGTTCACACTCTGAACACCTCAGCCTTTCCCCCAAAAGCATGAAGAAAGAGTTCTGACCATCTGCCTTTACGAGCAATCTCACCTCTGACCTCTGACCACCACAAATCCTGGCTAGCACCCAACTCAGGCCACAGCCCTGCATGACCACCCTGAACCAGCTCTGCTGCCCAAGAAACTGCCTGCAAATCTCTCACGTCATCTTCCAGCTGTTTCTAATGCTGTTTTGTAACAACACCCTTCTCTGCTGTATCAGTGACATCTGCCAGTTGCTGCCAATACAACGACTAAAATAATACACGCAGCCCAGCGGGTGCAAAACAGTGCTACATAGCTAGAAGTGCTCACTCAACACTTTCTCTTTCTGAATCTGCAGAATACACACAAGTTGTGACATGTTGAATCACCAAGTTAAAACAAAAAGCATGCTTGACTAAAAGTGGGAGTAATGTCATTATTCCTTTTTGGTTAATTACAATTTGTTTTCTTAAAGGTCCAAACTGAACCTGAGGAGTGAATCTGTATTTGCTTCCCATCAGCTTGCAACAGATGGGCCTGCTGATGGCAGCAGCTCAACAAACTGAAGGTCAGTGGACAGGTCAGGCCCAAACAAAGGTTCCCTTACAAATACCAGGAATTAGTTCAGCCCTCTCTCCTCTGGTTACTGTGGTCAGTTTCAGCCAGAGCACAACATAGCACTGCATACCTTACCTGCATGTTGGGAGTGGTTACAACTACTGGAAAATAGAGGTGTCGCTCTGTTTGTGCTCTGATGTAATACTGCAATGAATGTCTGTCTATACTGCTTTTCCTTCTTCCTTCAAAACTATTTAACTCTCTCTTAACCACAAACCACATTATATTCTTCAGACTTATAAAAAGGATATTAGACCTTGAACAATTTGTTTCTGTTTGTTTTGTTGTTTTAGTTGTGAATATACTTCAAGAAGAAATTCAACTTTTAAACAACTCTTTAAATATGGACCTAACTGTCATACTTGTTTGCCCCATAGCTCATCGTCCACAACTCATATTTTGCATATGTTTTTCAAGACCTAGATGCAGATTATTTATCTGGATTAAGGCAACTCATTTTTTCTATGGCAGAGGAATAATCTCATCAACAGTATCAGTGACTTTATTTTCACCTCGACATGGTTTCAACATTGCAGCTGACAGAAGCAGTTTGTGTCCAGCTCATTAACTATGTGGATGGCATTGATGTCCCCCAACCATCCCTAACCCTGCCCAACCCCCAGGGTGCCGTCTTTTAGGAGACATTAAAATTGATCATCCTCGCCTGATCCTGCAGGCAGCATGTTAAATTGATGGCCTTCAGCATCAGGAGGCCTATGAAAAACCTTCAGTGAATTACTAAGACAACCCTCAGAAGTTCAACATAACATGGGTCCTATTCCTGTGAACTGGTTATTTTCAGTTTACCCATTCTGCAACTCCTACTAAGAAACACAGGTATTCAGTTGTGTTATACATACTTTAAACCGTTAAATGACACCACAGAAGATTAAAAGAAGGCTCTGGGAAACAAAAAAAAGAGGGCTGATAAGCAAGAAGGAGAAGAATGCAAAGCTGAAAGAGCCAACAAATCAATCACTCGCTGGTTGGCAGATGTGCCGCTGCTCCACACAGGCTGCAGGATAGTCAACTGACCACTGGCCTGGCTTAACAAAGAACTATTCCCATGAGCAGGGTGACCTCTCAAAGCACCGGCCGGGTGGTGGGGGAGTGGTGTTGGAAGGAGCATTCGAACCCTCCTCCAACCTCTTATCTCTGCCACAAAGTTTTCCAATCATTCAACAGCAACTCTCCACTCACCACAGACAGTGTCTTCATTGTCTTTAATCTCAACCTTACAGCACAGAGGTAAAGAAGTCAATGTGTAAACATCTATATGTTGTTTTAACAAAAGTTTGATCCTTTGTCAGAGCGTATTAGAAAAATAAGTTGGTGGCTGATAACAAAATAAAACCTGTGTCATTAATACGACAATACAGAGATAAAAAGACTTTCATGAAAAAAAGTAGACCCATCGACGACTATTGCAGCAACTGATAAAACGTGACTCTGTCTCACTGCGCTCCATGTATTGAACAATTAAAGAGACCTTCGACCTCTCAGCCTGCCATTCAGGGGAACCATGGTAACCTTTCGTGTCCAGCAGAGGAGAAAAACAAGATTCTAGGCTTTGAGCTGTCTCACTTAAGGGCATTTCATTCAATCACATCACAGCGCACACTCTCCAAAGTTTACTTTTCGCCTTATTTGGATTTGTAGCTGAACCAAGCCAGCAAAAGTAAGATGTATTCCTTAGCAACTTAAAAAAGCTGTGGTGCTGACCTGAGACACAGCAGCAAGGTGAAATAAACTTTGAAAAGTGAACTACTGCAGCAGCTCAATCAAATCCCTTTTTTGGCTGAACCACAACAGCTCTACCTGTGACTGACCTCTTGATTAACGGATTTGCTCATTGGCTTTTGCTTTTTTTAAAGTGATTTGGCACAAACAGGCACTTTTACTTCATCAGGTAGTGCAACTTGTCTCTGATGGCATATCAAATCCTCTCAGCTCCTGTGTTTACTGGGTTTTGCCTGCATGCTCATGGTGGGAATGCACAGAGCTAAAGCTGGAACCAGGTGTGTTATGATGAGACAATCCGCAGTGTGGAAGAATTCTCAACTGAGCTACGACGAAAATACAAACTTCATGTGTATAAACAAAGAACTGTATCTTCAATCTCCTCGTCGTTTACACCAACCTGAGCCATGGAAGTTGATGACAAATCCTCTGTTTTCATGCTCTACATGCAGTCACATGGCCCATCTCCCCAACTCAGGAGGCAATCTCTTGACAATCAATCTGAGGTCTATTGACAAAAGTCACATGCTGAGGCTCATGTGTCACATTCCTTTTAATCAGGTCCAAATCCCATCTCACCTTTGTGCTTTGGCAAACCACCGTTTAAAGTTTCACTCCATCACCATCACACTCATTAATGATCGCAGGACCACAGATTCAACATATGAGCATACAAAGCTCACAGGGTCCCCATGGTCATTTTTAAAGCATCGTCAAATGCATCTTATTAGAAACTAAGTTAATGAGAAAAGAGAGGGACAAAAGAGCCACATCAATCTAAATAATAAACACTATTTCATTTCTTTCTCTGAAGTTAAACTAAACTGGCGTTAAATGAGAGACACATTGCTCACATCTCTGAGCAGACTTTGATGCAACAGGCTGGTGATACAAGAGAGTCCTGCTGTTTAATGAGGATTAACACCCTGACATTTGAGTCAAAACGTAAACTTCCAACCTCCAAACTTTAACTTTTACAATTAACGTAATTAACCTCACTGTGGAGAACAGGTCCGGCTGTTCTATTCCCTGATATCAGGACAAAAAGTTGCCACCAAGGAAAGCCCCTTCTTTTGCGAGCATGGAGAGGTGGGGGGGTGGTGTGGACAAAAACAGTCAGAGTGAAAAGCTTTTCACTCTTTCACCAGAGAAGTGAGGCAGAAAACAATTGTGTGCAAAGCCTCCAGCTCCCTCTGACCTGGCAGGGTCTGCCATAAAGTTCGGTCATTTAGACACTCAGGGTTAGGCCACGGTACTGGGAAACAGCAATTCACATTGGTGTGTGTGTGTGTGTGTGTACGTGAGTGTGCGCACACCGCTTGCAACAACCCCCACTGCTACCTCAGTGTCCTTCAACTGAGCTTTTCTCAGGTATGTGCAAATTTTATGAGCTTCCAGATAGACCCTCAAGCATGTCTAAGTGCCATTTTAAAACAAACTAGTAAAGCTTACTGGCAGCCTTTATCACCTCTTACCTTCTATAAAGCAGGTAAATTACTCAATTAATTAATACACTATATTTACTTTATGTGCAGCTGGGAGGTCAAACAGAGAGAATTGCCTGTTAAGTTATGTACTACTTAAGACATTTAACTCACACTAATTGTGCCATTTTGTACATAAAGTTTCAGGTACAGACTTTAAACCAAAACATCCAATATGGAATTAAATTGAATAAAGGATTATCATTCCAAGAAAAGATGTGCAAAACAGCAATTTTCTCAGCATCTTGCTTGCAAAGTAAAGAAATGCATCTTAAACTGTGAAAAGGGAACGCATTGCATGAGGGGTAAGGACGTTAATATACATTCTGCAAAAGTGGCACAGCAAGATGTATGGCCTGTAGGGCAGGAGGAGGGGATATGCGGTCAGAAAAAACTAACTCTGCCTGAAGCTTCTCTGCTCCCCCCCCTTTAAATTACGAGGCCAGCTCGCACAGTGCTGGAGGAGAAAGCATTCCAAAAGAACAATTCCTCAAGCGATCAGGGTGCAATAACATGAAAGCCCTGGCCTGTGAATAGGGGTCATCTGCTCTTTAGCACTGGAGAGTCGGTATCCTGGACAGCTCCTAACCTTTAAATTCTCCTGCTCCTTCATTAACACACCAATGGGCATATTCCCCCTTACAAACAGTATCTTTCTTTTACGGCTGCAACCTCACAGACTTTGTCCAACTCCCTGCTAGCAGATCAAAAACGCTACACTGAGCAGCAAAAAGTTAAATTAACGAAAAAGAAACGTGTGCAAGTTGACATTTCTTTGGATGATTGCAGTGGGGGGGTGATTTGTGCATGGAAATGGTAGCAAAAAGAACCAAGACTACGAGCTTTGACTTCCACCATCACCCTACATCACACCACATGCTACTTTTACAATGACAGCACGATACTCACTTGCGATTGTAAGACGGGCTTTCTGACTCAGAATTGCTCCATATTTGTTCTGAGCAAGGCACTGATAGAACCCTTCATCTGATTTGTCGGCTCTTCGGCTCTCCACTTCTGAAATGTAAAGGGAGCCATTGGAGAGAAGATACACGCGTTCGCTCTCCATCACTTTTACTCCATTCTTGAGCCATCTGACGTCGATGGGTGCCTCTCCATGCGCCTGACAGTTCAAAATAACAGCTTCCTTTCGCATGACGGTGACATTATGCGGCTCCTTGATGAAAAATAGCTCACTAAAGCAAAAAACACCTGCAGAAAGAGAGGGGGGGGGGAATCAGAGGTAGTTATTAGGGTGGGGCCTTCTCTAAGGGCGGAGGAGCAGAGCAATGTCAGGAGCCCAATAAAGAGTTAAAAACATTTACACACTAGTCAAACCACTGACTTACAGCGATTTAAAAGGTGAATTGTTAATCTGTCTGCGTGCTTTTCCCTGTCCTCTCTTCAGATATTATCTGCATTCACAGTGTTAGATGGATTAAAGTGTGGCACGGATTAAAACGTCCCGCTAAAGAGAGGTGTCACACTGGACAGGCCTGGAGGTGTGCCAGCAGGAGGTGTGCCAGCAGGAGGTCCACCATGCTTGTACAGTAATCTCACTGCTTCATAAACTCTTTCTACTCCACTTTAATCCAATTACTTGTGGCTCATAAAGTCACATGCTGAAGGTGAAAACAGCTGATCCAATTAGTCCCTTTGGTTTACATAGAAATACACGAGCGAGCTCTCAACATGGATATTACATAATGTTTCATTAATCTGAGATGTGAGGGCAGGATACAGAGACACTGTCATTCCTAATGGGACACACGCATGATTAACTACATCAACAGAAGGTTCCTCACTCCTAATTAAAAGGAATAAACAAAGTTCGCAAATATTTTCTAATTTTGTGGTATGCATTGCTTACAATGACAATTAAGGCATTCTGATTCTGATATAAGAATTTTCTCCCAAGTCAAAGACAAGGAACCCTGATTATAACATGCATCTCTCTTCAGCCATTTATCTCTGGATTGATTTTGAATTGGCAGATTGTTTATTGGACAGACACCCTGCTTCTCCCACTGTTCTCATGTGAAACTGAATCATCACCATAGCTTGGGATACAAAAATACACCATTTGATAACTTTTTTTGAGTTTGAAAACGATGTGATGTAACTCTACTTCACTTTTCAAAATAAATCTACTCCCTCTCCTCTGCTCTGTCTACTGGTTGCGATCATCAGTGTTTACAGATGAAATGATGTGGCACATGTTTGGACAGTCACCTGAAACAGAACTGATTATATCTATATAATAATATATAATATTCAGATAGTAGAGGTTGGACATAGAGTCTAGAAACAGAGTTGTTAAATGACGCAGTGAATAAAACCACAGCTGAAACAATATAAACTATTATATACAAGTTTTTTTAAATGAACAGTTCTTAAGAATTCAGAAATAGTTGACTGACAGATGAATTAGCTTAAAGAGGACGTAAAAGAGCATTTAGTGTCGCGGGTTTATGTCTTCAGGCTCGTTTATCAGCGAATGTTAAACTCTAAACTTTTCCTTTTGATAAATGTTGGAACTTCTCAGGAGCCTGAAACTCCAGCGTGGTCCGTGCTGCTGCAGCTCCTCAGTCACTGCTGTGTTTCCCTCTCACACTAAATGTCCAGAGCAGGTTCGATTCTTACCTGAGAGCGGGAGGAGGACGAGGAAGAGCAGCACGAGCTGCTTTAATTTCCCTTTGACCGGCGCCATTTACGTGAGTTGTCCGAGCATCGCTGACTACAGCTGCTCTGTCATGGTTGTTCTCTGCAGATGAGCTGCGCTGCTACTGAGCTCAAAGACCAGGAGAGAGTCCGGAGCAGCATCTTCCTCCTCCTCCTCCTCCTCCTCCTTCTCCTCCTCCTCCTCATCACTGCTCACAGGACAGTTCAGTGCAGCGCCACCTGGCTGCAAGTCACACAACGAACACCACATGCAGCCTTCACACTGCTGACACAGGAAATCATCCTCAATATACACAAAGCACACGATCACTTTTATACACAACAAGTATATAGTGTCAGCAGCAAAATGTAGAGAGATGATTCCTTTATTTATCTTATTAACAAAAGGACAAAATCACATGTTAGCTCGGACCACTCCTCTGCTCATGGTTATGTGTTTAAACACAGAAATATTTAGGAACATGCACAATTCATATTTCCACACAAAGTCTATTTATAAGAAAACAAGAGTAAAATCAATTACATTGTTTGGCTGCAAAATGGATCCAATTTCAATTTCTTTGTTTCAGGTTTCATCTTCATATCAACTTTATAAATGTAATCTGTCTTGTTGTGAAGTGCGGACCTGACAACAAAACCCAGACTGCATGATGAATGTTCTGTTGGTCTTTTAATAATGAAACACTCTAATATTGTCCTCCTGCTCACTTCACCAATAACCTTTCACTTTTCCTTATCAATACAACTGGAGCAGTATTGATGAGAGCAGATCCCTCAGTATCAGAGACCAAATGGTCTCTACAGACGGAAAGAAATGTTAATGGAAATGAGTTTGTCTCTTGTCCTTTAAAAGCGGGCTCTGCAATTATGAGGAAGCATTGATAGGAGCAGGACAGCTGCTGTGTCAATGTCGATATTGATCCGATGTCCATCACTTATTGTGGAGCCAAATCAGCCCCCCCACCCCCCCACCTCACCAACCTTTATTCAACAGCTAGACCGCAGCTCAGCTGTGATGTCCACTCAATCAGAAGAATATGCAAAGCACTAATTCAGTCACTGGGAAAACTGCTTTCTTTGATAAAGATAATTCTCAGTGATATTCACTGAAACAACAAACAAACAAACACATGTGGTCATGTTTTATTCTAATGCAGATCACTTTCAATTGTTCTAATTGTCTCTAAAGTGAATTTTAGATGTATTAGCTTTATGTTTGTTCCCAAAACCGTTTCTTATTTAATATCGGGACGCCATATACTGACACAACTCAGATATAACTTTGTACAGATTAAATCAAACAGTTTTGAGTTTTCTTCTGAATTAAATGTAGAATCTCACAGTGTTATCTGCATGAAGAAATGTTAATATTAGTGCTACTTTGAATATTTACTTGTTTAATGTAAAATGCAATGTGATGAAATGTAGAAGTCCCACATTAATCTCCACAATTGCCTCAAGTTATTAAGCAGTTAATTATAACATGAGCAGTCATAACACATGTTGTTAAAATGACTGAATCCTCTGTCTCAACATCCTCTCTCTCTCACACACACAATCAAGAACCTATTTGTTTGTCACACTTCCCTTTAAAGCACTTACACTGTTACATAACCTATAAGTGAGCAGAGCCTCAGTTTAGGTTGCAGGCTCCTTCCTTACATAACGTGAGAAAGTGAGAGCCTGGCCTCATTCATGGTCAGCGAACTTCTCCCCAGGGTGTTTAATTAATCAAGAATTCACTATCGGCACCTGCCAATATGGCACAGTTTGTGTGTGGGGGGGGGTGCTCGGCCTGCATGTGAACTCGGGTCAAGCTCCGAGGCCAGATCGATGCAGTAAAAGTCATTATCGGGTTATGAATGTTGGTAAGGTTGTGGGTAAAGGGAGCCACCTTCACCAGTGCCTGCTGCCATTGGCCGAGGCCTGTGCCTCACTGCTACCACACATGCCCATCCCCACTGACCCCAGGAGTGTCCAAAAGGCTGGCCTGAATAGTGTGTGTGACCTTTCCCCTGACCTGCGTGGAGGGAAGGGGGATTTAGTGCCACGGCAGGGGGGGGGGGGGAGAAATTAGGGCTGTAGCTGCTCATCGAAGTCACACAAAAGGCTCCAACCACAGAGATGTTGACAAGCCTTTTCCACAGCGCTGCTCGTGTTAACAGCCAAAAATACACATGAAGGAACAGTCCACGCTGTAGGTCAGCAGGCAACAGGGAAGATAACAGAGTAGTATCTGACTCCAGCTGGAGCAGCCGGAGACAAACAGTCAGACTGTGACTGTGCTCTCGACTGTGTAACGCTTTGACATGTAGTTTAAAACAAATCCCACGATGAAACCAGAGAAAGTCGACAGTTCCACATAAAAAAACAAAACATAAACAATAAAATACATAAGAATAAGTGAAATTTAAGGAGAATAATATATGTTAGTCTTTAATGTGATTGAAGAAGTTTTAATGTGGGGTGATAATCCTCAGGGAGAATACAGTGTGTCTCATCTCCCCCAGGTGGAGCAGTTCAGCACTGCACCCAGCTCCTCTGAACAGAATACAGTGTGACCGTACAGACACAATACAGCTCTGGATTTAATTGATAATTTAAAGAATACAAGGCATTCCATTATTTATTCTTGAGAATGAAATACAAATGTTGAAAGATGCCCTATCTCGCAATGTTAAAGAAAGTGAAACAAAATTCCTGGATCCACCCTTTATTCATCTAGTTCTTCCGTGGGCCATGTCCCACCATACAGTCTATGGTCCCACCACACTAAAATGAGTTCAGTAGTTTGTGAGTAATCCTACTAAAAAACAAAAACCTCCTTTGTAATTAATAAGAAAGTTAGAAATGAAGACACTACATGATTGTTGTTTCTTAATCATTTTTATTCTTCAGTTATATTCAATTTGGTTTACTACAGGTCATCAAATTTGCATTTACCAGCTTTCACCCTCCCCCTGTTGCAAATATGTTGCATGTATGTTGTTGTAATGCACTTGTAGGTGTTCTAATTAAATTCTATAATTTGATATATAGGAAATAAAGTGTTGATCTATTCAGTTTGTTCAGTAGAGAATGATACATATATAACAGTACTTCCATTTAGAGATTAGAACATCAATAAACACAATTAAATTCTACAGTATATTACAAACAAAGGCCTCGGTATTTAACTTGAAATCAGCGAAAGAGGAGAATGTGCTTATTTTCAGCGATGTTCACATGTAAACATTTAAACACATGTGCACTTGAAGCATAGATCATGTTTTTTAAAAGAGTGATTTAAACAGTCTGCAGGTGACAGATTGGCCAAGGTTCAGACAGTTTAGAAGTAAGACTCATCAATATTAACAAAGTGCTTCACTTTATAAAAGCGTAAGTATAAAACTGTGTCGTCAGAGACAAGAACCAACCCATGATACCTTCCTTTCTCAACGACCTGTAAACATGGCAGGCAGTGTAAACACATGTTTTACCATTCAGAAAAGTTAAAACCACAGCTTGAGTGCAGCTACTCTCTTACAAAGGTATGATAAGGGATTTTGAAAACAATCATCTGTACATGTTTTGACAACCAACAAAATAAATGTCAAAAGTTGTACTCTTAAGAACAGAGCACCACGCCGCAGTTAGTAGACACCCACTGTGAGTAGACAATAACTAAACATGTTAAACATAGTCTATCTGAGAAGATTTCTGTAAGCCATGGCCCAGGACATATAATGTGAATATATACATATAATTATTACTTTAGTATGTCTAGCTACTTATCATGAATGAAAAAACTAAAAGATGCATAATGTAGACATGCACTGATATCGTTTTTTTCTTACTTCAGTTTGACAGTTGCTTTGTCAGTTAATAGACAGCAAAGTTATATTTTTATGTACAATATATTTTGATGATAAACTAAAAAATCAAGTGATATTCAGTTGTTATGTCAATATGTACAATTATGCATAGTATCAGCACAGTCTAATACTGCATGTAGTCACTTTTTTTCCCCTGTGGACAACACCAATACAGCATAATAATTAGTTGAGCCTTTTACTGGTCCTGGTACTGGTGTCTCACTACTATAAAGCTGAATTAATACACTTTGTTCAAGTGTAATCACTGCTACAAATGCTTATGAGGTGTTTACATTGTGGATTTCCTGCATTAGAGATTCTGATATACTGGAATGAAAAATGTATACTTACGTAAAGAATTTAAATGAAGGAAATGGGGAAGAAAACATCTTCACATGTGATTTATTTGGGTTGAATTACAAATTTATATTCATGTTTTGTTGGTTAAAACTTTATACACTTGTGTAATAAACTCATTGATACCTCTATCTTTTTATTTCCAATCTTCTGTGTGAATTTATTGAGCAGCTGAGCCAATTTCTTTGTTCACATTAAGTTTTTAGTAATTTTGGAGTTAGTTCTGGACAACAGACATGGGTGTAAGTCTCATTCATACATCAAACACTGACAGTATATTATCTTTATATAAACATGAACTTCACCACAGTATCTTTGCCTATTCTAACCAATGGTCCAACTCAACGCCCCTCATATGTTTGTAGTCATGAAGTGACAGAGACAGGCTTATGGCTAACATAACTACATTAAGTCTCTGATGTGAGAAGCTGAGAATTAAGTGTTTCTGAAGCTGTTCACCCCAAATTAAACTGATGTTTTTACATTCACATTAAATTCTGTAATATTATCATTTCACCGAATCGTGACTTTTAAATATTAAATGTTTTAACAGAACAAATAAAAGTCGATCCACTTTTGAGCGACGTATAAAATGACAAAAAAAGAAATAGAATAATAAGAAAATCTAATTTGTAAACATTACATTGCGTGATTTAATTCCTCGGTCTGTCCAGATTGTATGTCCTTTTCTCCACACGTCTCTACAGAGGAGCAAAGTGAGGGTTGTGTGACTGTCCTTCATCTGTCACACTGCTGGCAGATTAAGACCCGAGTCTAACGCACAGCTCGTCTCTCTCATCAATGTCCCCACATTGAGCTGCTTGGCATCAGCTTTACTCTGATGGCAGTAAATGTCAGTTTATTCACCACGCCCGTGATTAATCCACCCCATCGAAGCCTTGTGCATTCTCAATAGCGATGTGAAGTTTCTCCCTCAGTTCCTCAAATGACTCATAAGGAGGAAGGTCCAGACGGTTGAAGCTGCAGGAGTGTAAAGACAGGAAGTGAATAAAGGTTAAAAATCCCATCAAAGAATAAGTAATAAAAACGTGCATTTGCAGGAATCAACCTCAGAATTTAGTTTCAGATTTTCACAATTGTCAAAACAACAACAACAAAGTTCTGTATCAAATTTGGTGCAATGTGGATACGTGAAAACTTTAATATTGAATAAACAGGTGACCAGCGCTCTGTAGCAGCAGCAGCTGGGAATCATCAATGTAATGCTGTGGCTCAATTGCTGCCGGCCAATTTGACTGCTTTAGAAAGAAAACTACAACAGGATCACCATCGGCCAAACAAACAGCTGATTCTAAACAAGCAGGTTAAGAATGAGCAGTGTACTAGTTACATATTCATTTGAACTAGTCCATAAGTGTGTTCAGAAGGCGAAGGGGATCCAAACATTGTGGCCACATTACAGGAGCATAACAAAGGTGAATGCTACTCAGAGTTGTGATAAATCTGAAACTACAAACACTGAAGCAAAACACTGGATAAAAATTCTAGCAATGAAGGCTGAAAACATTCTAAGCTTTTACAACAACACATTCTGCGTTTGACCTTTATAAATGTCAGCAAACACTTTGAAGACGGTCTAGAGTACATTGCTTAACACAACCACGTTAAATATTAGAAAAAAGTCCTTACCATGTGTGGGCTCGGGGGAGTTTATCGCGTGTTCCCCACTGCTCAATGGTAAACAGCTGCGGTCCGTTAGACCCTGGAAAATAAGACCATCAAATATCAGACATACAGACAACATCATGTCATTTGGAATTCATTTACAAGAAAGAAAAGTTCAAGCCACCTGTGAGCTGAAGACAAGGGAAAACAGTACAGAGAGAGAAACGTGATGAGAGAAAGAAAGTTGCTCATTTGGAAACAAAAGCCAATAATTATTTGTTTCAGTAGAAAGAAGAAGAGTGGACAATGTAGAAAGAAACGCAGACATAACAGCAAAATTCAACAGATGAGCTCACCATAGAGTTCAGCAAAGCCATTCATTGGGACCCTGGATGTTCCCGTCACAAACTGTAAGAGCCGGATTCGCTTCTCTGCATCCATCAGCAGCACTGTCTATAACAACACAACAGAAAACATACAAATAAACAAAGTTCTTCTTAAAAGGAGGAGAAACACAGACAGGTCAATGCCACCCAGCTCCAGATTTTTGGCTCCAGGCATGGAGAGTTGTCTTACTTTCCAAAACCACTGGATAACTACGTGGTTGGAGCAATAGCCATTCTTGTACTTGGTGTTCTCTCTCCAGTCGTTCACGTCCACGTCTCCGAGACCACACATGAGCAGCTGTGGAGTTGAAATAAGGCAGGTAGACAGATCTTTAGTCATCTTTCTAGAATGAATCTGATCCATTTCAGCACATCAGAGAAACTCAAACTCACCTCAAGCTCGTTCTCATCAAAGATCTTGATCAGATCTTGTGGTATCAGCTCAAAGAATCCCTAAAACACAAAAGTGCCATTTTCATTCCAAGTCTTTGGCAGCTAAACTGATGATTATGCCACGGAAGTTATCAAAAGAATTGATACCTCTTTGAATGCAGTCATCTGCTTCAGTATCCTGTTCACAAACCTCCACTGCATCACCAGACTGTCAAACACAAAACAGCAGGTCAGCATCAAACCACAATTAAACAATGAGTGTCTTATTTCTTTTAAGAGACAAGCTCCCATTCTTACTCTATGTATTCCTTCTTGTTTTCATTGGTGATGACAATGTCACTGCCACCCGGCTTTAGTTCATGTTGATGAGTCTGAACAGGAATAAAATCATTTCAATTTACAGAAACCACTTATCACAAAGTGAAAATTGTTGAGGCAAAAACAAGACATTGAGCAAACCTGTCCGAACAGCTCTTCGTCAATGGTGAACCTCAAATCCAAGTCTGTTGGGTCATTCTCCAAAATCCACATCAAGGAGTTGAAATATTCACTGTCCTGCAAAAACAACAACAATAATAATTAACTTTGTCGAAAACCTTCAAGAGAAAGTGTGAATTCACACTGCCATTGGGAAATTATCTGGATTATTAAATTACTATATGGATAAAAACTGCTTTAAAAGATTTTTTTAACATTGAGAGTTTTAAGAGGCGATTAAAAACATGTCATTGAAATTGGCACATTAACCACAATAAAAATCATGCAGATCATCTGTTGTTTGAGGATCTTGATATAGGGTGTCACCCGTATTATTTTCTGTTGAAAAAAAGTGATACTCACAACGGACTCCATGTCCTGGAGGGTGATCGGCTTCTGCAGCATCATCTTGTAGAAGGGCCGAATGAAGAAAGCTATTGAAGAAACAAAGATGTTTGTCACTGCTGTCCTTTAAAATAATATTTATGAGAATACATTTCAGAATCACTCACCATCCAGCAGTTTTCCATGATACACAGCCATGCCTGCCACACGGCCGATGAACTTGAAGTAGGACAGGTGGTCCTCATTACACAAACCTGAGTTAGGGTTAATCTGCAGCGTGTAGTTGTCCCTGGAAAACAGATCTCATCTTAACGAACACAAAAACACCTAGCCACTCCCTCTCTATAGATAATTGTAGCTCTTTTTTTAAGATATCTTTTGGGCTTTAAGCCTTTAATGATTAGTCAACACAAAGAAGCAGATTCTGACTCATCTTTTATAGATTTAGCCAGTGAACGAAGAAAGAACATCTTTTCCCCATTGAAACTATCCCTCGCAGCAAATATCACATGGCGTTCAAATCAGCACAGGGACGCTGGATGCAGAAGATCTGTCATGAATGTCTTATGTACATTTATATATTTGGAGAAAACAGGCACTTTAATTCTACATTTGAGTGAATCGTCAGTGAGGAGGATGTTGAACACTCTTGTAACCTTTTATTCTCCAAATCTTGTCTTAATTATTACAGCTAGCTGACAAAAGAAACTAAAAAAGGAAATAACAAAATATGTAAATGCAAACCTATCACACTGAAAGATAAGGTTTAGGACAGACACAATGTTTTGACTCACGTGGCAGAATACTCGAACAGTCCGTAGTACGGGTTGAACATCTCCTTGGACATGAGGAAGAACCACTCCCTGGCCAAGCCGCCATAGTCCAGTCCTTTCTCTCCCTCAAACTCCAACCACAGTCGTGCCTTTAGCAGATCTGCCCTCTTTACTGAGAGGATGCGTCGGTACGAGTCCTCCAGCACAGCGCTTCGTCTCAGCTTCATCTCAAAGCGATTTGGGATATCAGCCTACATCAAAACATATTGAGGTCCTTTAAATTTACAATAATCCGCAGGTTAAATAAAGAGCGATTTTGAAAGTGAAAGTGAGAAACTGATACAGAGTTTAAAGGAATGCCAGTTTCATCAAATGTTTGATATACAGTATAATCAACAGTTGTCCTTCGAAGACACTCACTGGTTTCTTCAGCTTCTTCCGGAAGTAGTCATACTTCTGTTTATAATCTCTGGAATAAGGCACAGCCTGTAATGAACAAAAACATTAAAATACATTTTACAATCTACAGTGAGGCTTGTGATCATATATTCAGGAAATCTGTAAGATTTAAAAGAAAGAACAGTTTTTATTGATTCTATGTTAATGTCATGTAACATGTTACTGAGTAATAGTCTGTCAATAATAATCTATACTCACTGGTCCAGTTATAGCTGAGTTCTGTAATCTGGGATCATCCCATTGTGTAGTCTTGGTGTCTATGCAATAAAACACATAAGAGTACATTAATTAACAAGGAAACACAATAATAATCATATTAGTTCATGATGTGTGTTTTTTTTAATTGTCATACTCACTGTGATCGATGTAGAATATCCTCCCATCACTGTGAACTCGCTCCTCCCAGCCAGGCTAGAATAAAGCAAAATGAAGAAAATAAGGTGGATTTAGAGAATTAAATACCATCAGGTCTGATGATACATCACAACTCAGAGCAAATTAAGGCGCCATATAAGTCTTTTGCCTTAGATCTAAAGCCTAAAGTCAATGAATGCTTTTCAGATGATTGGTTACTGATTAATTTACCGGCAAAGGGCCAAGATCAGCAGGGTCAAGTGAGGGTCTCTTCCTCATGTGTACAGGAATCTTTAGTCTGGGGTCTTCCTGTTTGGAGGGAAACAAAAGACAGGAAATGCTTACTCAAGAAATAGTCATATAGATACTGATACTGACATTTCTGTTATGTTGAGTTAAAGGAAAGGCTGTAGAAATAAACCTCTGGCTTTGTATTTCTATAGATAAACGTTTATTTTCATATAGACAGGCTTGAGACTAGCCTCTAGTGGCCATCAGAAGAACTGCACCCCATGAGGGTTGTCCCCCCTCGGACACAAGAGTAAACAAGAAGCCCTCTTGTCTGCTATGTTCTCACCCAGGTAGTCGTCTTCGTGTTGTGGTCGATGAAGAATGGTCTTCCATTGGGAGCACTGCGAACTTCCCAACCAGTCGGCAAGAATCTAGATTCATTCGTGGCCTCTGGGCTTGGTGTGTGCTGAGGAGATGCCTCAGGGGATGTAGTGGGCAGTGGCGGTGGCGGACTTTGGGGTAAACTTGAACCACTCTGTGGTGGTGGTGCTGCTGCTGCTGCTGCCTCTGAGGTTCTCTGTCACATAAAACATAATTAGATCAATAAGAGACACGTAAGCATTGTAGCACATAGGATTATTGTTAATCAGAGGGAATTAGGGGATAAAAATAGTCACGCAGAGTGCCAGTATACATCATTTAAAAATGTACCTGAATGACGGGTCGTGTCCAAGTTGTAGCTCGACTATTGTGGTTGACATAGTAGCGTCTCCCTTTAATGTCCCTCTTCTCCTCCCACCCTGGAGGCAGGCCAGATGAGGTTGGAATCAGCTGAATGACATGAAAAGTAAATTCAGTGATCAATAATCAATAAATCAAATATAGTAATTAGTAAAAAATATATATTTTCTATAGACATAATAACGTTGAACCAAAAACACCAGGTTGGGTTTCTTTCAGAATCAGAGAATTGGCCATGACAGCAACATTCTGATGAAAGACAGGTTTGGTAAAATGGAGGTAGGTGTGATTCCTGAAACACTCACCACAGGACTAACAGGATGTTCCTCTCCAATTGAATTCTGGGAGCTTCTTCTGAAACTGGAATGGCTTGAATTACTAGCATGATCCTGTAGCAGAGGGAAAGGATGTCAAAGACAACAATCATCACTTGGCCATTAATGCATATTCCACCTCTCTCCCTGAAAGCTGATGGTTCACATTAATCTAATTACGAGCCTCTCTTCCTCTGACTTTTGGTAACTAGAACCTTATGCTGTGCACAACATGACTCACGGTGTGGGAGGTGCGCTGCTCTCCAGCTGTGGCCCCTGAAACTTGCAAGTTTCTCAGCTCGCCACAAAACGAGTGGAACTCTGCAGGTATCTGGGGTGGAGGTGATGCGAGCTGGTTATTGCTGTGGTACATGGTGGACTCGTCCTCTGTAATGATCTCCCAGCTCTGGAAAACAAGAGAGAGGAGACTTTAAAAGCAGGAACCAAAGTCAGATTTAACAGCTCTGCCAAATTACTCAAAGTATGCAGTGCAAAGTTAGTTTAATGAGAGTTGACAAAAGTGCTTTTCTTTAAGTGTTTATGCTAAAGCTCTTACAGGACAAGCAAAAATGTCAATGATATGATTACCACTACAACACCAAGCCACAACATGGCATCTACTGTACATAGAATAGCTACAACGACTGACTTCCTCTCCCATTCACCTCAAAAGCATTTTAAAAATTGTTGTAAAAAGGCAGTGTGATACTTCTATCCTGCTGAAGTCTAATATTTCTAATTCTCTTTTTAACTTCTCTAGTCTTCTCTGGTCTCTACCACTCCTGAGGGAAAAATCTGGTTCTTTAGCTGCTAAATTGTCCACTACATTCACCAGACAGTAGCTAAATGTGTGTGTGTGCCATCTGGTGCTCAGCATGTGCGATTTTAACATGAGAACAGTGGAAGTGAACCAAGCTCAGTAGATCTAAGACATTTTTGTGATTTGAAAACACTTTCAGTTCTGTTCACTTACTCTGAATGATCTTTTGTCATTTAATACTCATATATTCCTCTAAACACAAAGGAAAAATACAGGCTGGTATCAACAGTGATGGAGGAAAAGCAGAACTCCGCGAAAGGCATGCAAATCACATTTATCAAAAGAGTTCAATTTACCTCGGGAGACTCTCGTGTGGCATTTTCATCATGGTCTGAGATCTGTCTGCGTGTATTAAATGCATGCTCCACATCTATATTACTGTTCTGTCTTCTGTGCATCTCCACATCACTGTCCCTGTTTAGGAAAGACACATACACACAATTATTACTGCACCCCCAGAAAATAGCGATGCACTGTTGCTGGGATTTTGGGAGAAGTCTTACTGCATTGTGGGTCGAAACCACTGTGTGGTTCTGCTCTCGTGATTGACAAAGTAGATTCTTCCCAGGTTGTCTTGCCGCTCCTCCCAGCCAGGGGGCAGAGGAGGCAGCAGCTGGCTTTGTCTGGGACCTGACATGTCCTGAGCCTCGAGCAGCTCCCAACCAGGCTGCGCAACAAAAACACAAAGTTTCAAAATGGGCGTCACGAGCCAGACAGAGACAATATCTTAATGCTTGCTGTGTAACTGCATAAACCAAAGAAGACTTGCAAACTAGAAGAAAATTCACAAACTAAGATGAGAAGGAAAGCACTAAGTCGACTAGAATCATTCTGAAGACATCAACAGAATAGTTTTAAAGGCCATGGACACACTGTGTGTTAATCATAAAATGGACAATCCGTGCTCTAAGAGAGGTAATATTACTGCTATAACCTTAGATTGTTTTAATATTAGGCATTGGTGAAATAAACTATTATAATGCCTGGGTTATACTATACATGGATTTTCAATAATTTTTTTACCTAAATAATATCAAGGTTGACGATTAATAAGCATGAAATAAATGATGCAGAGAATTATGCAAATGAACCTATATTATTAATGTGTATATTCAGTGTCCAGTCACAGGGATTCTACAAGCTGTAAGTGATATCTAAATGGGTACAAGTAGAAACTCAGAATGACTGGGAACTAAAATCTATGAAGGATTTGTGATAACTGTGATGATCACTGGAGATACATTGACTTGTTTTAACCAAACTTACATCCAATTCCTCAGTCTGATCTGCTGTTTCCTCCTCTGAACCAGGGTTTTTTGGCAGATAGGTCATTTTGAGACGTAGATGACCTTTGACTCTGGACTTATGGCTGTGAGACAAAAAGAATTCTCTTTTGGAACAAGTGAGAAACTAATATGGTCAGGAATGTTTAAAAATAAAATATGAACTGTGACCTAGAATTCCTCCTGCAAATAAACATGGAAAGTAAAAGAGGGAAAGATGAAATAACCATGGAATCATGCCAACCTTCGTGGATGAAGCAAAAAATCCTTGAATGTGTATGGCCTTTCAGTGTTAGGATTTTCTGTCTGAGAAAGACACAAAACAATATAAACAGGAAATATTGAATTCCTCAAACATTTAAATATCTGCATAAATATATCTCCTGCTCAACAAAGTATATTTAAAGATACAGTGACATAAAACAGGGATGACCGTTCACCATAGGGGCTAATTTGTGGGTGTTGTATTTATAATAAAACATAAATGGATTTAACATAAACATGACAGGCCGTGTTTCCAAAACTATAAACAGCGATGTGGAACAGACTCCCGAATAAGGGTGTTCATGTTTACATGGTGACATGGGTGAAGTTGGGGTCGAAAGGTGGTACAGTAACAAATACAGCAAAAACAAAATACCCTCAACTTACATCAGACAGTGATATGAAAAGAACAAGACTCACCGGTATCTGATTCAAGGGGACATCCACCTGTCCCAGAAAGTCATCACGCGTCTGACGGAGAGAGAAAGTCACACACGTCAGGATCATGCCAGTATGATCTCTTCCCCCACACACGCTGACACATGCTCTGTTACTAAGGGGCCTTCAGAGTATGGATAACAACAACAATATCCACATAGCAGCAAACAGTGAGACTGTCTCTCAAAGTGGTCATATCATGGTTTTTTCATTTCATCAATACATTTATCAATTTTTTTCATTTATCTGCTGCACTTCTTTCTGTCACAGGTCATTTTCTGCAGCACACCATATGTGATCATTAGATTAGACAGATAATCTAATGAGAAAATCTCATCCTCTGCAAAAACACTGAGCCGTTTTACTTCTTGAAACAAGTCATATGACTTGATCTATTTCCATATATATTTAGCATGTAGCCTGGGTAGGAATGTGTTTATCAGCTCATGATGAATGGCTGCACTGTTATTGCTAGAGAGACTGCGACCAAAATAATGTTAGCATTTGTCAGATAATTTGTCTTTGCTTTGAACACTTCACGCGTTCACTGCATGACACACAGCCGTTATAGCCTCGAAGGCAGAAGGCAGTGGGGTAACGCTCTGCGCTGTGGCAGCCAGCTTTGAGACCAAATTAACGCCTCGGCAGGTCAGACTGTCTGAGCGGTATAGAGTGTTTATGTGAACAAAAATAGACGGAGACCCCCGTTGTCCTTGTACGTCTTATAGTGCATCCAAGAAAACAAGGAAGTCTATGTTAACCTGGAATTATGAGTCTGAATTATTCATTTCCCTACATTTTTTAAAACCCTTCTCTCCCACAAACATTTGATATTCTGCAAGAATTCTTAAAACTGCAATTGTGGGACACGCTTTACAGCTAGTGAACAAAGCAAGACTACAAATAACAACTGCTTTCATTATTAACTTAAGTTGAATTTCTTTCCTTTTCAAAACTCTAGATGACGTACTTAATGCCCAAACAACAGCTCCAATCCATAAAAAGTCCAGTTTACTCCTTGGTCACAGCAAAGAAAGGCAGCAAATCAGCTCAACAGAGAAACTGAACACAATTAATCAACAATCAATGTACATTAGAAGTGCAGATACTATTATGTATTTCAATGTTTTATGCCATTTCCTTCTTTTTGTAATGTTTTGAATGCAGTATGTAAAGCACTGTGTTATAAAATGAATTATATCTGTGTATACAATGTGCCAAACTTCCATGCTTTTATAACTGCTGTGGATTTTAAGAACGTATCTGTACAATTTCCTCGACAGTGAGGTCTTCTGGAATATCCATCTTTGAGGAGGCATCAGTACTCTACTCTATAGATGTACTAGAATGTGTAAAGTAAGTCCAGTAGTTGTGGTTTCATATAAAACCTTGTAAAACCCAAATTTCTTCCCTGTTGTATTTATGATTACAACAGATATTGTGAGGCTCTCATCTCATTGTCATTAACAAACAGAATTCACGATTGCAGGGTGGGGTGATTCATGCTTTGGACAAGTTTGTCCAAGATAAATGTGCGCTCAGAGAATCCCCGAATGTTCATGTGACTCCAACTGCAACTGAGTTGAGCATTTGGCATTTAGCAGAGCTGAGCACATACTGTATGAGGCGGTGGCAAACAGCTACAGACGCATGTTTTGGTGTCTGTGGAGCAAGCTCAGTGATATCCATCTTAGCTCGGCAACAACAAACAACTTTTGACAGGTGGACTGCAGCTTGTGAAACCTAAACTTCAGAGGAGCTACACAGATAATGTTATCATTGCAGGCAGCAGTCTGTAATGAAACTGACCAGGGGCTTGACAGTTCAATCTAGTTTTTGAACATTTAAAGCCTGTTCATATTGGTTTTAAGCAGGTGCCTGGGCTCCTTTTGTAAGAGATGAGTTGTCTTAAAACCAAATTATATATGAAGTAAGTTCCAACTCGGACTCTGGGCTAAAAGATGACACACTGTCAGAAAGCTTCAACGGCCATGGTTAGGAGAGTGTGGACAGAGGGTCTGTTTTCCTGCTCCTTGACTCAAATGTAAAATGTCCCCACTCGAAATACAGCTACACAACTCGACCACAAACACTGCAGCAGCAGCACTGTCGAATATTGACAGTCCATAATAACAAAGATTAAGAACTTGATAAAGATCTAAACCGTGCCTTCATGAGGTTATGACTTTGGGGGGTTCAGAGAGATCTGTGACTCATCGTCACCTGACGTGTCGTTTGGTCACACCTGGCCGTTCATTAACTCACGACATAGAACAAAGGTTACAAGGGCACCCAAGATAAGAACATCAGACCATGAGTAACCCTTTGAGAAGCCACGTAACTGGTACTGAAAATAACTAATGACGGCAAAATAAGCTAGTAGGTGTTGGGATTGTTTGACTATTAGTAGAAACGATGTGGTCCTCTTTATTGCTGCAGTATGAGGAAGGTCATTTGTGAGTACGTAGCTCATTTAGCCACTAATAGTAAATAGCGTCAGCACCCTTTTTTTACCTCCGCCAAGGAGGTTATGTCTTAAATTCTTGAGACCTTTATTAGTTTTAGCACTTTCACATGCATCTCCTAATTATTTGAATTATGATGTACTATTTGATTGTCATGTTAAAGCCTCCACATAGGTATTTTCTGATCAACCTCTTCTCATGACACCTAGGTTTGACTGACAGCTCAATTCTGTACTGTGTAGCTGGAATGACTCGTTCAACGGGTATCAATCTCGTTGTATTGTGACATCATATATTCCCACCTTAACCCCTCCCATTCTCAACCTGTACAGGTTGAATCACTCAGAGCAATAAAAAAAAGGCTGCTCTGCTGTGAATGAAAACAAAGGTGTGTATTTGATGCAGCGCTCTAAGAAGATGTGTGATGGGACACTGGTCTCTATATGCATAAAGGTCTATGAACATGAAAGTTAAATACATAAATACAAGTGCAACATACTTGATACTTGCTTCTTTTAGTCATGTCTGATATTTTAGGGGCAATTTAACAGATGAAAATATAATCTAGATTTAACAAAAGCTCATTTTGATCTTTAAAAAGTAAGCAGACTCACTAATTACGGGAAGAGACCTTCTTACTTGACAACCTGCTAAATGCAGGGGGGTCTGACACCTGATATTTCACAAACACTGCCTGGCAGGGGTACACGTAGGGAAGGGAACACACCAGACATTTACTGGGAAAGACTCACACTCCCATCATGCCTACATCACACGCACACGCACACACACACACACACACACACACAC